ATGCATTTGTAAAGAACCAAACATAAGCATGGTTTCTAATGGCTAGTTTGGCTGTAGGAATTCAAATTCATTAGTCCTTTTAAAAATTTGAATTATTTCACTTTAACTTTCAAGGTAGTGCTGAGAGTGTTTTGATATATGTTGCCATGTTCTCTTCCATACAAAAGACACAGGCTCTGTGTGTGCAGCTTGTCTAAAGACCCATTACCCAAGGTGCTCTTGGCTACAAAATTATATCAGGGGGAACCTTGGTGCTGAGCAAATTTCCCTTCCCTGGCCTAATCTAACATTAAAAAAAAACCTCAAAAGACACCCTTCCACAGAGAGTTCTGTGGAACAGCAGGAGACCTTGTCCTTTAGGAAATTTTGTCTAACACATTTGGCCTAAATTCCCCTTTGATGCTTTTCATTACATTAGCTCTTGTTATATTCCGCCAGATGACCCTAAACAATTCCACTAAACAATTAATGATTATCCTATCCATCCTTCATTTGCTGTTTAGCTACAGCTATATGCCTTTTACTCCTTTTAATCTTTAGTTTAATGAAGTGTAATTAATCAGTCTCACAATGAAATATTGAATCTTGAAATTTCTCAATTCTTTCATAATAAGCTACTTCATGCATAAAAAGCCTGCTTGGAAGAAGAATTAACACAGCTGCTTTCTCTCCCTTGTTTGGATAAACAATCTCCATCAAAATGGGAATATCACTTAACAAAACTGTAACAAGTGTTATTATAGTTTGCAGCAGAGGGAAACTTTCCAGAGACACAATTTAAACGAACTTGAGGTTTCTGTTCTGTGGCATTCACTTAGAAGTCTGAATGCTATTGATTACTTGTCTAATTTGTATTATTTCCCTTGGCCTCCCAGACAAACTGGACTGTTTTGCTATCCAATCTCCTCTCAGTGAGACATTTGTGTTCTAATCCTCCCAGCTTCGCTGAATGCTCAGAGGTCTTTTGGCCCAGTTTACAGCGTTGTAACTTTCTTTAGATGTCGGCACTGTGAGGAGGAGAAGAAAACGGGGGGGGGGGGGGAGAGAGAACAGGATTGCCAACCGAATGAACAGAAAACAATATTTCCTGCTGCGCAGCGCTATTCTGCCTTTGCCAAAGGATGATTAAAATTTATCACGGACCCTGGGGGCCATGTACTTGCCTTCCAACATTACACAGCTGAAAGCAGGGGCATGTTTGGAACGCTCTGGTTCTCATTCCAAAGATCACTGCCCCAATCCTACCCTCACCACATACACTAGGATTCACCGCTAAGGGCTCTGCAATACTTTCTAATGTTGCATACATTTACTCTGCAGTTGTTTGCCTTCCACCGATTTAAAAGCCAGGAGGGTATGTGCCTGTGTGCATGCTTAAAGATATTGTGAAAGCTGAGGGTCCAATACTTTGGCCACCTCATGAGAAGAGAAGACTCCCTGGAAAAGACCCTGATGTTGGGAAAGATGGAGGGCACAAGGAGAAGGGGACGACAGAGGACGAGATGGTTGGATAGTGTTCTCGAAGCTACCAGCATGAGTTTGACCAAACTGCGGGAGGCAGTGGAAGACAGGAGTGCCTGGCATGCTCTGGTCCATGGGGTCACGAAGAGTCGGACACAACTAAATGACTAAACAACAACAAAGCTAGACAGCAGCACAGTTGTCCTGTAGTCAGTTAATGATAATCCAAAATACACCTCAGCAACTGCAGTGTGTGAAACAGTAGGCTGGGAACTGCACAGGCCGTTACTGTTCCTGCTCATTCACTGACTGTGCTTCAGACAGTAACTTTTTGTTTAGTGAATGCAAAGCTTGCCGGCTCATGGGAGTTGTACTCTGGGAAGGGGTCCTGCCTTCATCTTACTGAAGAACCCTTTCCATGAGCGCAGCTCTCTTTCCAAGAATGGTGTAAAAGGGTTAGGATCCCATCTGCAGCTCAGTGGTGGAGCATCTGCCTTGCATGCCCACAGTCTCACATTCAACCTCCAGAATCTCCAGGCAGGACTGCAAGAGAGGTGCCTCAAATCCTGGAGAGCTGCTGCCAGCCAGTGCAAACAATACTGAACTAGATGGCCTAGATGACTCATTAGAAGACAGCTTCTAGTGTAATCTAGAACCAATGGTGCACATTCAGTCCATGTGCTAACTATCTTTTCTGTGGCAAGTGAGGCAGTTTGCGGACTCTCTTAACATTCTCGTCCCCCAGATCAGGACATCAGGAAGGGCAGGCCTTCTGGTCCAGTGCTTGGGTCACACCAGAGTACCTTTTGGTCTGCTGCTCTGGCATGAGGACCAAGAAACAGGACATTTTGGGGGTTAATAATTTGGTGACACCAGCAGCAGCTGCTGCTATTTGGTGGCAGAGGGGAATTCTCATCCAAACCCTTAAGTACCAGGATGTAGTGCTGAACCCTGAGGATGCCAGCACAGTTGCTGACTGCATAGTCCCTCTTCTGATGGAGTCTGCTCTGACATCAGCAAGGGAAATAATCAGCAATCATGTGCTTCACAGTGCTGGCTGTGGCATTCACTACCTCTACTGTTGCTCCCTGGTGCTTTAATATACCATCTCCCCCACCCCTGCCACATAGTTTGCTGGTGTTGACCCAGCAAATCTCCACACCAGCTTCCACTGCTTGGGGGTGCGTGGAGATAAACCCTGAAGAAAACTCTAGAAGCCCAAAAAATGTGAACAAGGCATTCGCCAGAAAACAAAATGGGGACAAATGGGGACATTGGTGTACATGACACTTCAGTTAATGGAGACCCTGGCACCTTGATTCACAGCTATGATCCTAGCATCCCTTGCCTGGGATAGTTCTGGTTTTCCAGCTAAACAGGGGCCACAGGAGTATATGCATAAGCTAGGCCCACCCACTTAGCTAAAATGCCTTGCACATCAATAGCATCATCATCAAATGGCCAGAAATCAAGGCATCGTTCAGCACACTCACCTTTTGTTAACTGATGCTTATACTAGACGCTAAATATTTTCCATAGATGGCAATGACTACTAAATATTTGGATATGTTGAATAAAACAAGTGCACCATACCTGATCATCAGGCATGTGCTATATATTCTGTATGCACCGTGCACTCATAACATGTCTTTCTCCGGAGAGGAGCCACAGTGGAGGTAATTCTATATCTCAGATGCTTCCAATTTGCTCTAAGTGGCAACAATATCACACAATGGGAAGTGTAGCGGAAAGTGGTTTGTTTCAGCATATGGGTAGCTCTGTTAGCTAATCTGTGAAGGCTTGCTTCAGGATCTCAATACTGTATGCAGATTTCAGGTTGACCAATGCTCTGATTCAGTTTATGTGGTTCCATGCACACTACCTTAAAAAGCACACCCCCTCCAAAATAATAATAATAATTCTAGGTAATGTGGTTCATGCCTCATAAAGTTATGATTCCCAGCAATCCTTAACTAGCAACAATGTGCATAATTTATTGATGGGGAAATGTTGCACTGCGCCCCATTTAGGCCTTGTTATTGTCCAAAGGCTACAATCTTAAACTTTGGAGGAAATCCCACAGAATAATAAATATGAGGCTTTCTTCTGAGTAAACGCACATAGGATAGGCCTGGGCTGTAACTCTATTTCAACTGCTAATCCATGCATCTGTTTGAATTACCATTTGAATACTTCATATTTTCTTACAGTTTGAATTGATACATCTCAGTGTTTATTTGTCAATATACATTTTTATCATTTTTCAGCATACACTGAATGGAGAAATCTCAGCTGATCATTCTCATGCAATCAGATCAGTTTTGGGGTTTTTTAAAAACCAGTCGTTATGTTGCTTTAATGTTTTGGCAATATGTGCAATTAAAAATCGCATGGAATGTATTAAGAAATGGGTGGTGGTGTCTCTAGGGTTTGCTACAATTAGCAAAAACTGCTTTATGTACGCTGGCAGTTGGATTTAAAGGTAATGGTGTTTCATTGATGGTGCTCAGATGTTGTGAATCTTAGAAGTACTCCCAGTGGTGATAAATTAGTGGGCAGAGGGCAAAGGAGACAGCCAAAATTGCATGATAAATGCAATTTGCCACATGGCCACTGCAATCTATCACACTGAGATCACCAGTACATATGTGGAGTGGGTGTCTGCATCAGAGTTTTGGGTGTTGGCCAGCACATCAAAAGTGCCTCACAAAGTTTCAAGATTGTGGTGCTCTTGGAGTTTCACTGCTGTGTGATTCCTAAGCTACGTTTAGTACATTTGGAAGGAACACAAATTCCACACAAATTTCAAACACTGGCAAGACTTTAGGATTTGAACCTGACTTCTAAAATCCCAAACTTTTACAAATTTCACTTTCCCACGGGAAGGCAGCAAAAACAGGAACAGGATGTACAGTGTGCTGTGTCAAGCCAAATGTTGCTACAGTGGTACCTCGGGTTACATACGCTTCAGGTTACCTACGCTTCAGGTTACAGACTCCGCTAACCCAGAAATATTACCTTGGGTTAAGAACTTTGCTTCAGGATGAAAACAGAAATCGTGCAGCAGTGGTGCAGCGGCAGCAGGAGGCCCCATTAGCTAAAGTGGTGCTTCAGGTTAAGAACAGTTTCGGGTTAAGTATGGACCTCCGGAACGAATTAAGTTCTTAACCCGAGGTACCACTGTATTTAAAGCATGGAAGTAAAGGGGTTGATTCAAATGTTTTTGAAGGGAAATTTGAAGGGAGTGAGGGGGGTGGCACCATGCAGGGATCCTGGGAAAGTGTTCCAGGCGTGCTGGCTGCAGCTGATGGAGTTGTGGTTCAAAATACCTGGAGGGCACCAGGTTGGGGAAAGGCTGCTCTATACCCCACTGGCTGTCTTCTGTAGCTGCCTCTTAGGCTTTTCCCTTCAAATTCCTCCTCGCATCTCAGATTGTCTCTAAACTAGGATACCAGTTAAGAACATAGGAAGCTGCCTCACACCAAAGTCAGGTCAGCAGCTGTCCAGGATTTCAGGCTGGGGACATTCCCCGCCCTACCTGGAGATGTTGGGGATTGAACCTGCGACCCTCTGCTTGCAAAGCGGATCCTCTACCACTGAGCTATGGCCCTTCCCCACATTTCCCATGTCTTGATTGCTTTTGTGAGAACACAGTCTGCATATGCAGCATGTTAGAAAGCACCCCACTTTATTTCCTGCTGCAATCGCTAAAGAGATTTAGTATCGCCCCCTTTAATTTCTATGGGTTTTCCCAGTGAAAGTTTATGGCATTTTAAATACCAGGGGTGGCAAAGGCTGGGCTTTCCCCCACCCCCACCCCCACTGGAAGTCTCACTTAAGAAACCAACTGTGTTTGCCAGAGGAAGCTCATGACATGCTGTAAGTTTAATTATGTTCAATTCATTAACACAATTAGAGCTGTGAACAATTTATTGACACAGCCAGAAACACTTAGAAACAGCCAGTAAGTCATAGATTATAGGAACTCATTCACCATTCTTTTGCAATGTGAGCAATACTCCAGCAAACTATTAAATCACTTCAGAGCATGGCTTGAGTCATAGTTTTGTTTTTCCGCTCTCTGATGTAAAGTCCTACAATAACTCAACTGTGTTTTGGAAGAAAGTGCTACATTGTGCCGTATTAAATTAAACCATTAATCACAGCACACCACCTTAGCTCTGAAATAACGAGAGCTAAGTCATCAGTACTTATTTTCCTTTTTAAAAAACAGAAACAAAAACTTTGTACAAAGCGGTACAAATTACCTTGGGATTTCTTAGTTGTTTGTTTTACAGGCAGAGAAGGCAGCCATAGCAGAGAAGTGATGTGGTAAAAGTTAGCGCAGCTACAGGGAACTTGTGGGCCTCTGGAGATTGCTGGATTTCAATTCCCATCTGGCTGCGACTGGTAGGAGTTAGTGTCAGACCAAGACTAGGGAGAATCAGCCTCAAATCCCCATGAAGTCAAGGGCAGCTGCCAGTCAGTGTAGACCATAATGGGCTAGATGGACTAATGTTGTTGTTGTTTAGTCATTTAGTCGTGTCCGACTCTTCGTGACCCCATGGACCAGAGCACGCCAGGCACTCCTGTCTTCCACTGCCTCCCACAGTTTGGTCAAACTCATGCTGGTAGCTTTGAGAACACTGTCCAACCATCTCATCCTCTGTCGTCCCCTTCTCCTTGTGCCCTCCATCTTTCCCAACATCAGGGTCTTTTCCAGGGAGTCTTCTCTTCTCAGGAGGTGGCCAAAGTACTGGAGCCTCAGCTTCAGGATCTGGACTAATGTTATGACTGTATAAAGTGTCTTCTTATGTTCGGTGGGTAACTTTGGTTGTATTTTTCAGCTTAACCTACCTCACAGGATTGTTGTGAACATAACATTTTGGGGGGGGGGGTTGAACTTTATACACAGCCTTCAGCTCCTCAGAGGAAGGGTGAGGTTTTGTTTTGCTTTAAATGTGGTAATGGACTGGAATCCTTGAATTACCACCTAATTTCTAGTCAGGCTCCTGTTGCTTTTAACTATCAGAGTTCAACAACTTGCAGTACAGTCTGAAATTCAGAAGGCAAAGTGCTGGTTAGTGTATCCACTGAGGAGTTGGAAATGAGACACAGAGCTGCTGCTTTTGGTAAACAGGCCTTTGCTTATTGTAAAACACACACAGTTCCACCTTCCAAGGCATCAGTTCATTTTTGCCTATAGCAAGGAGGGACTCACACAGACCTAAGTCAGGAAGATGGGGAACGAGAAGGTTCACTGTGAACCCCAAGTGCGCAGAATCGTAAAGCCAGGTCCAGACCCAACATCAGCACTAGTTATGCTTGGGGAAATCCTGAACCCCTGGTCAGATGCACCACTGTGTAAATCTTCCTGCAAAGGGCTTGGTTGGCTCCTTAAAAAAACAAAATACAAATTCTGCTGCTTAAATTCCCCCACAATAGTCATTGGCTCTGGCCCTTATGCAGCGCCATCTGCTGGAGTGTTGGGGCCAGTTGTGAGGAAACTTAGGTGGCGGCTGCCTAATACAGTGGTACCTCGGGTTAAGTACTTAATTCATTCCGGAGGTCCATTCTTAAGCTGAAACTTTTCTTAACCTGAAGCACCACTTTAGCTAATGGGGCCTCCCGCTGCCAACGCACCGCTGGAGCACAATTTCTGTTCTCATCCTGAAGCAAAGTTCTTAACCCGAGGTACTATTTCTGGGTTAATGGAGTCTGTAACCTGAAGCGTCTGTAACCTGAAGCGTATGTAACCCAAGGTACCACTGTAATAATATTCACTGGGCCCATTATGGCCTTTTCACTGCCCCATGCCCCTCTGACCCATTATAATGCCCACTATGGCCTGCCACCTCACCTACCGCCTGGCAAGCTGTGTGGTAAGTCTACTAAACACCAGCCCAGTGATGGGAAGGGAGCGGTGGAAGCGAGAAAGGAGAGTTCAGTAGTTGTGGGGCGGGGTGATGAAGGAGGGTGTAACAAAGAAATCTGTAGGGCTTGAAATAGTGGCCTTAGGAGCTGTCTGTCAGGAGGGGTGCCCTTGTCTTCTGTAGAATACAGTATTCCCTCCAGATTCCAGATCTGGCTTTTCAGACATGGCCTCTGCATAGGTTGTTGGACTCCAAATTGTGTGTTTTAATTACATATATTTTAATAGTAACACAATTCATTTTTTTATACTTGGAAGCCTATTCTGGCATGAAGTGTTATATAAAGGAAACAAACCAACCATCAGCCACACAGCCAGCAATGCAAATACGGAAATGATGGGAGTTGTAGTTCAGCAGTATTTGGAGGGCCAATGGTTTCCTAGGAAGCAAGGGCTTCCTGAACCCCTACATTACTGGCTTACACAGGTTTGTGTCTCCTTTCCAAGAAGGGACTTTTGCCCAGGGACTTTTTTGCCTGGGCAAAAAAATAAAAATAATAACGGTAGTAGCTAACACTGAGGTCTAGCTTTTGTGGAATAGCTGTCCCATGGCACAGTGCTTGGAGGAAGGACATAGCATCCGCTTATCGTGATGATTTCTTTTTTTAGTGACACTGTTAACAAAATATCCATCATGCTTCAGGTTAGGATCATTTATAGAAATGGTGATTTGAGACACCTAGTATATGTGCTTATGCAAAATGCTTTAAAGCATTAAAATATAATACACCTGCCGCAATATATGTGATTTCAATAGCTCCCTCTGTGGGGCATGTACAATATATTAATTGTAGTAATGTATGTAATAATACAGTAGAGCTGTTGGGTCTACATTTAATTATATGATTAAAAACCATATATGCAGTATATTCACTGTTTCTCAGGCAATCTAGAAAGCGCTGGAAGGTCTTTAATGGCCATCATAAAATTAATAATAAAATGTGTAAAGATAAGCTACCATGAAAATTGCAGAGAAAATGATGACCTGTGTATTTTTGGTTAGGTAGCTTACATGCATGGAACACTGTTAGATATACTTAACCATATTTGGGCAAAATATTATGATGATTGAATAGATTTATATCCCACCATTCTGCTCACAGAGCACCTTGCATCTGTTTAAAACCAAATGTAAAATGACTTATAAAATGATAAAACAATACCAGTTAAAAACAATGCAATTTTATGAGAATTAGTTTAAAAACAGCAGCATAATTTCAGATCTAAAGCCTGTGGAAATGAAAACATTCTAATATCCATGTACATTTTGAGCCAGCTAAATCTCAACTTGCAGGGTATTCTAGAGCCATCACTGAGACGGCTCAAAATCTGACCCTATCAAGTGCCACCTTCCCTAACCTGATGGTTCCTAACCAACAGCCCAGGGTCCCGCCTTCCAAAACGTTTTGGGGTCCCCTCCCTCAAGAACTTCCTATGTTTGTGTTGTGTGTTTAAGTTTATTGACCATTCCCATGGGTCCCTCCCATGATGCCATGATCCAAGAAATTTTCCCCAGGCCCTCCACTTTGTCACAGTTTGTTACAAAATTATTATTATCTGACTTCTTGCATTGGTCACCTACTGTGATGCCAAAGGTTCTTGTGTGTGTCCTAGACCAGTCACCCCAGATTTGTCTGTTAAAAAAAAAGCTACTCCACTTTGCCAACTGCTCCTGCTCTGCAATATGCTATAAAGCCTCTCCTCCTCAGGGAGGGGAGGAATTGTGATCAGGGGCCATTTCTGCTTTGGCAGGGGGTGTTCCACCCCCTGCCCAACTGCTCTGGCTGCCGTGCCACGCCCCCAGGTGGCCAGCCAATCGACTGGAGGCTTGGGGTGGGGTTTAGCCGCTCAAACATGGCCCGGCAGCGTTTCTTAGCCATTGTGCTGCTGCTTCTTGTCGGATGGCACAACGCCTGGTGACATCAGGGGGAGCTTTCAGTTGTATTTGCATCAACAGGCTCCTCCCACTGGTGGTTAACCCTTGATAGACTCACCCCTCCCCGAGGGGGTGGAGTCACACTCTGTTGTTTTATCCAATGCCTAAGCCAATACCTCTCACATTCTGTAATCACTAAAGTTGTGGCCTTTTTTAGCCCATTAACCTAATATACCATGTCCATGTGTCTTTCTTATCCTCAAGCAAGTGGTGGGTCCTTGAATCACAACTTCTTTACAAGAGCAAGCACAACACGAAACTACCCAGGCTTCTCCTTAAACAGAGGCCACCTCTTAATGGTACCTCTCTCTGTGGTACACTGTTGGTTTGCACTGATCAGAGGACCTTTTAAGGTGCATCCTACTTTACAGAGGCACTGTCTAAATATGAAGAACCATAAGAATGGGGATTAGGGGTCAGTCAAAGTTGCCCATCAACAGTTAGCAGTTGAACATCATACTGAGCAGATACATAGGTTAGCTAGTCACTGCCTTCCGCCTACTGACATGACATGTACTTCTGTTAAATTGTACTAATAATGCCCACATTTGCATCTATATGTATACTATAGCACATTAGTCCTCTTTCTTGGTGATAAGCAAGTGGCCACTCTAGAGCCTCTGGATCTGAGCATATGCTTTGAGCATTATATCATAACTCCCAAAATATGGGAGGTGCTTTTATCAGAAACGTGTGGCAAACATTTGGTTTCCATTATTCTCTCAAGCTCCCTATTCGAAACCTCTAAGAGGAACTGTGCAATTGGGCATTCATGCATAGCTGTGACATCTGCTTACACTTGAGCCTCTTTCTTTTACATCTGAGCCTCTTTCCTAGTGAATCTGTACAAAGCTTAAGGAAACGAATATTTGTAAACCATGTAAAAATCAAAGAAAGATGTGTTTGTGGATGAATGCTAAGGGGTTAACTGGGACTCCGCTTACAAGTGTCATCCACAGCCACCCATGCACATTGTTTTTATAACTGCCAAAGTGGGGAATTTTGCCGATCTTTAGACTTGTATGAATTTCCATTACTATGTTGATTCGTAGATATAATTAGCTTAGGCCATTCACATCTTCGCCTGTGGTGAACCTTGACTCAAACAAGCGCTGATGCAAATGTTACAGGTATCTGCAGTCACCTCTAGCTCATGCTTAATCAGTGCAAACCTGACGTTTTGGTGTCTAAAGTCCTTGTGCAACGAACTCAGCTGGTAACTGCTTCAAGTTACATGATCATCACAGGGCTGGTCCAATACATTTTGTTGCCTGAGCTTTTGAACCTGGAAATGTGTGTGATCTTGCCCTTTGACTGGGCTGGTCTAATCACCAACAGAGTCCAAGGGCTTAGGAGGAATGACCAGTGCTGCCTCCCAGTATCTGCTGTCTGAGGTGACTTCCTCATTCTGCCTATAGTAGGACTGGTTCCTAGTGCCATGGTGTTCTTAAGGAACAACTCAGAGGGTTGGGAATTGAAAGCACTGCATTACAGTGGTTTCACTCTTCCCTGCCAGATTGCTACTAATAAATTAAAACTGAATCCTGACAAGACAGAGATGCTATGGGCCAGTAGTTCCCAAGTACAGAATTACAGTACAGTGGTACCTCGGGTTACAGACGCTGAGATCCAGCACCGAGGGCCTTCTGGCAGTTCCCTCTTTGCGAGAAGTGAGGTTACAGGGAACCAGACAGAGGGCCTTCTCGGTAGTGGCACCCGCCCTGTGGAATGCCCTGCCATCAGATGTCAAGGAAATAAGCAGCTATCTTATTTTTAAAAGACATCTGAAGGCAGCATGTTTAGGGAAGTTTTTAATATTTAATGCTGTATTGTTTTTAACACTCGATTGGGAGCTGCTCAGAGTGGCTGGGGAAACTCAGCCAGATGTGCGGGGTATAAATAATAAATTGTTGTTGTTGTTGTTATATTCAGGTTATAGATGCTTCAGGTTACAGACTCTGCTAACACAGAAATAGTATCTCAGGTTAAAAACTTTGCTACAGGATGAGAACAGAAATCGGGCGGCGTTGGTGCAGCAGCAGCGGGAGGCCCCATTAGCTAAAGTGGTACCTCAGGTTAAGAACAGTTTCAGGTTAAGAACAGACCTCCAGAACGAATTAAGTTCTTAACCCGAGGTACCACTGTAGGTTGAAGGCCTGTTCTGGGTGGGCTTGTACACCCCTGAACAAGCAGGTAGTCTGGGAATACCCCCAATTCACCAGCAGCAACTGCTCTGGGACTGGGTTGGGCTCTCTTGCGGGCAAAAGTCAATCATGGCTTACTTTGAACTAAATATTAGAATGCATATAGAAATGTATGGCTTGTTTTGTTTTGTTCAGATAAAAAGCTTAGAATTCTGAAGGTAGGTTTTTACATTCCAAAGCAACACAACTGGGTTAATGAATGCACTTGGAATCCTCCAGGTGACCTTAAAGGGCCCACCTTTGCTTTCCTGGGTCTACTCTTTTGAGCGTTCTCACAATGCAGCTGCCTGGCCTGAGCGAGAACAGAAAAGTTGCTCTGTGCCAAACTGTGCTTTGCTTCTTCCACTCTGCTACATTTAATTAGGGTTTGTAATTAATCTTCCTTGTGTATTACACTATGTCCAACCATCAATATTAATAAAATCTTTACTTACTTTAAATACTCTGAAAGATTTTATTTGGAGAGCTGGGCCATCTGGCCCTCTCCACCTCACTAGGATAAGTTCCTGGGTAAAACAGCTTCCATCTGTTTCTGAGATTCTTGTGTGGTATTACACGAGGGTAAGCCTGAAGAGGGATTTCACCAATATAGTAGATGAAATAAAATTGGCTCTCTCTAGAGTTCCTCCTTTATTACATTGATAAAATCCAGCATCCTTTTTTTTTAGCGTTCGGTAAGACCACACACACACACTTACTTTGCTTTACTTATTTGCTTTACTTGCATTCAACATTGCTTCCTTATAATCAGGAGCTCTGGAATACTGAGGTAGTAATGAAATTTAACAACCCATCTATATCATCATTGGAATAAATTGTGCATTTTTTTTTAAAAAAAGAAGTTACTTTGGTTTGGGGAGGGGAGAGTGTTGTAAGTTGGATTTTTTTATTTTTTTATGTGGTGGTAGTCTTGCTTTTTTGTGCCACAGACTGGAAAACAGAGCAGGCAGGGTATCGAGTAATATATGTGACCCATAAGGATGCATTTGGACCTCCAAGGTATTCTAAATTGCCCAAACATTGTCTTCCACAGCTTCCATTTATCCATATACCATATTTTTCCGTCTATAAGCTGGCCGCATGTATAAGACACCCTCTATTTTGGAGGACTCCAATTTAAGAAAACGGGAGGAGATACTATCTGTGCATAAGACGAGCCCAGATTTTGAACACGAGAGCAAAAAAAAAAAAAAGTCTTATACACGGAAAAGTACAGTATTTGGTGATTCCACTGCAGTTACTAGCTTCTGTCTTGGGGCGGTCACTTTAATTCCCCCTTTCTACGGTGAATGGGTTGGAGAAGTTGCCTTGTGCTGTCCCATTGATGAAACTAGGTTTAGGCTACTAGTTTGTAACTCTGGTGAATACAGAGTGAAGATGCCACAAAAATTTAATGTGCCAGTGGTTGGTCTGTTATTCTTCACTAAGGCATAATTTTTGGTTAGAAAGCAGAAATTGTGTGTGTGTGTGTGTGTAGAAGGTCTCAGATTCAAGCCCTAGTACTGCAGGTAGCTGGGCTAGAAATATTACTATCTGCAATCATGCCAGAGTGACAATACTGGGCAAAATTGACCACTGTCTGATTTAGTTTTCATGCATTAAAAAACTCCCATGGCACTTTAAAGTTTAGCAAATTTATTTAGGGATAAGGCAGCATTTGCCAGTCTAGTGCTCCAGGTGTTTTGGACTACAAGTCACACCAGCCCCAGCCAGATGGGAAACGTAGTCCAAGCATTTAAAAGCCACCAGGCAAGCCTTTGCAAACTAGGGTCCACTTTCTCAGATGGACGAATTGTGTCAACAATGATTTTTCAAGCTTGTGAGAGTTGTTCTGGAATACATTTTATATCCTTGCAGGCATCCACATTATGCAAATTTTCTTACCTTGCCAGCATCTTGGTAAAGACTCAAAAGGTCACAAAGTTTCTGATTTACTTAGAATGAGAGAAGGCTGTTCTGCAATGAATGCGATTTTGCCATGACTCGTATTACCAGGAAATGTGTAAACGATGGGACCTTGAAACTGCCATGGTGCCATATATTGATTCATATATCAGTTGTCACCATAAACCATAATTATAATGAAAGGTAGAGGTTGAATAATGGGCAGGAAGAGTAGTTTTGTTTTATACCATGGTGCCCCAAAGATGCTTTTGATGGCATTTTAAAATGTTGTGTACTTGTGACAATGACTTGGCTAGCCCCTCTATTGCTCAGGTGTCAGTCATAATATAATGTCCATCATAATTTTGTCCAGCTCACAGTTAAAACTGGTCTAGGGTGAACCTACCCTGGTTGATTTGGGTAAACTGAGCTATTCCACAATCACCAAATTGGAAAAGTTGTTTTTTTCTCCCCTGAACCTGTTTCCAAAATTCAGACACTGTTGTTCTCCTGGTAGCATAATCAGTAGTGAGATGGGGACCAAATACCAGAATAAAAGAATAAAAGCATTTTAAATAAATAACTGAATTGCCAATTTAAGAACCAATACTGCTCTTTAATCAGAAGGAAGTGGAAGTGACACTAAGGGCCCTTTTCCATTCTTCTTCTTTTAAGCTATTTAATTGCCTCAGTTGTGGTTTAACAACTCCTAGCCGAGCAGTTAGAGGAAGGATTCCAGCCTTCAACTTGCAAAGCGGTAGTTGTAGTAAGATATGCCTGGAGGTAGACATGGGCATGAATTTCTGAAATAAATAACATCCATATCCATTGCTTTTAAGTGCACTCTTTCCTACAAAATTACATTAATGAAAAATGGGTATAGTGTAGTCATCTCCTAAGTCTGTCTCATAAAAATCGCAGGCATATTTTTGCACATGGAAAGGATTATTAAAATTGCCCTGTTTGGAAGGAAGAAAAGAAAAGAGATTGAATAAAGGCTACACAATAGATGAGTGAGTGGATTAGAGTGAATTGGAAGTACTCTTTTTAACCTTAATATATGCAGAGTATCATCAGCAACTGAAAACTCCAGCAGCTTCAGTGATGGCTTGCTTGGCATAGGTTATGTTTATCTTGGGGTCAGAGATATTTAAAAGAAACCAAGAAAGAAAGATTAATCTGATAAAGGCATTGCCAGTTCTAATCGGACTGATGGGAAAATGTGGTAGAAAGATAAGTAACAACACAGGGTGAATTATCATGAAGAGATGAACTACCTTGAAGCTGGAGCAATCAAAGAGATAGCCCTCACATCTAAAAATTACTATGGCATCCCTTATTCATCAACACCTTTTTGCGAGTGTCTTCTGTTCAGCCCCCTGAACAAAGAACAAAAGCACTCCGATTTATTTGGCAAAATTAACTTGCTCGGGTTGTGTCCCTCACTTACCAGAATTAAAGGACCTTCGTTTCCCGTTGCAGGACATAAATACAAAACTTTCAAAAGTTTGAATTTGATCAGCTACTCAAAAGTACAAAAAGACAGCCAAATATGCTTGGAAAAAAATGCCTGACATATTTGATTTGTACTGCTGTCATTTAGAAAATGATGTATGTGTTGCACCTGCCCCTGAGAGCTTGATTCCTCTGTTCTTTGTGTCTGAGCTGATGTTATCTGATGTTGCCTGATAACTGTGGAAGTTTGTAAAATAATATGGCTGAGTCTACCCTAGCATTTAAGAATTTGCCTGTGTGTGGACAACTTCTGTGAGGGCTCTTCATACCAGTTCTATGTACTAGGAATACCTAAGAAGCAGACCAGGGGAACAAGAAAATTCTATATTGACGCTAAACTGGTGACATAAACCCCGAATGCCCTCTGTACCCGTAATAAAAAAAGGGACAAGGATCAGCAATAGAGAAAGAGAAAAAGTGCAAGAGACTATCGGAGTAGCACCAGGAACTGAGAACCACGTGAGGAGCCAGGTGGACAACATGACTACTTCCCATGGTAGTACTGACATTTTCAATGAAATTAAAAGGGACTTACTCACTAGCAAGTATATTTAGGACTGGGGTGCATATATATTCACCTCATGGTGCTTTGCCAATATGAGTATTACATCACATTATCAACTGATCATTTCAATCACAGGGAGATGATAATGCATTATTAACAGAGTAAGCATTTTTTATTCATTTATTTTCCCCGCAGAAAAAAGGGCTACATCTCTTACCTGAGTAAGTAAATTGATCTAATTCTTCAGATTGTTGAGTTTATTCCACCAGTTACTTTGATCTGCAATCTTGCTAACAGAGAAAATGGACTAGAAATACCTACAATTAAGAATTTCTGAAGGTGGAGATCTGTCTCTATGGATGTCCTTCACACAAAAAATGTGGCATGATGTAACTTGCTGGTTGCTTAGAACCATTATTTCAGAATTCCAAAACTAGGTTGTATATGAGGATTGTCTGCAGGTAGTACATGGCAATCATAAGTAATTGCTTTGCTTCATATTTTCAAAACAAAAAAACCCCCTTTATTTCAAGTGTTTAAAAATTCATAGACTGGGTTGGTAGAGAAATTACACTACTGCTCCGGCTCTGGAATAGGCTTGGCCAAACTTTGCAAACAGAGGAATCGATGGTAGCACGGTTAAGAAGTCCTAGAGAAAACAAAAAGGAAAAATTAAATTGGAGCATTTCATGTTATATTGACTGCAGCCCAGACTGAATGGAACTTTCTCCCTGATAATTTCCCAGTGCGTGACAGTGTAACGATACTACACTTTCTCATACCACTTACTGGCTGCACCTGAACATCCTCACATGAATGCGTGCATAAAAAGTTAAACGTACATAGGTCTAAAAAGTGCAGTTGATTGACTCCAACAAGCCCCAAAGGCTGTGTAATTTGAGCCTACATAGGTTGGATTTCTCACATGGGCATTCTATTCAAACTTATTGTGACTGCATGTAAACATCTGGTGGAATAGGCATGCCGGGTGGATGGAGCTGGAAGGCAGGATTCTGTTTCCACCCTGTTCATGGGAAGAAAATGGGCAATCTAATCTGTTGTTTTTTTTATGGCGTGTGTTTGTATTTTATATCATGGCTGGTTTGTTTTTCACTTCAATTCAGTTTGAAGAGATCTACAGTATAAACACTGCATGAATAAATTGTCCATAGAAACATAGAATCACAGAGATGGAAGGGAACATGAGAGTCATCTAGTCCAACCCCCTGGAAAGCAGGAATCTTTTGCCCAATGTGAGGCTCAAACCCATGACCCTGGGATTAAGAGTCTCATGCTACGCCGACTGAGCGCGCTCTCTCTCTCTCTCTCTCTCTCTCTCTCTCTCTCTCTCTCATACACACACACTTTTGAATTTTCCAGTATCTTAGTTTAACATGTAGATTGTATATATTATACAATTTTTTTTAAAGGAAACACACATTCAACTCATTATAACAGTCCGATACATACACATTACAGACTGAAGAGAAAATGTAGAATGAACCAAAATAATGTTCCTCGTCACATAACAGTTTCAGTGTTATCAATTACTTACAGTTGATCTAATTTGAATCTTTAATTGTCTGTATTTATCAAACAACATAGTTTCAGTTACATCTTGTAAATATCTACAGTATCCACATACTCTCTCTTTTTAACATTTCTTAATAAAAATCAGGATCCAATGATCTGTCACATTCCTGAGTACACCAGTGAGCACTTAAGGGAGGGAACCAAAACTCTTTCCTGGCTCTTTCGCCTCAAATGTGATTAAAATTCCAGCTTTGAATCAGTCCGTACACTTGGCAGTGCTTCAGACTACAACTTCTGGCTCTTGCCCTCTGGCAGAATATTGAATTTTGGCTCTGATTCTGTATGGGCTATCTATGTTCATGTTATATCACACCCTCCCAGATTGTCTTGTATTTAATGTGCTGTTTTGCATATCAAGTGACGGGGGATGGACAGGGGCTACGTGGGCGATAGCCGGAGAGGCAGAACAATGTCCATTCAATAAACAGACTAGCAACCCTTTGGCTTCTGATTCATTACAATATATTTATCATGAGTTTTCCTTTACCATGAGATCTAGAAACTTCTTTTTTTTAAAATACAGATGTTCAGGGGACGGGAGGGGAGTTGTGCCAGATTCCAGTAATGTGACAGACCCAGAGAATATACACATCTCTCTTTATGATGTACTCAATGAAAACTACACTTGTCAGCCACTCTGTGTTCCTGATAAGAATCATGGGCTCTATTGAGGGTATGAGAGGAACATCCCATCATAATTAACTTATTACGAAATCAGAATAAAATATGAGCAGGAAAACAGCTGTCAGCATTCCTCTCAGAGTGTACCTCTGCTCCTACCACTCTCGTCTGCATAAAACAAGGTCCAGTCATTTCTGATCCCCAAAATAAGCACTGATTGGAGAGAGCAGACGGCTTTTGCTATTAGGATGACTTGCCAGACAATAACAACCGACTGCCAGAATTAGCTCCTTGGGACAATTTAGGTGCCTTTGAAGTGAATGGCTTTTTGAGCTGGAACTAAGCCCACGCCCGGCTTCAAATCCAAGTCAAAATGACAAAAAGGAAGTCCACTGCGCCATTCATTCCCTCAGCGTAAGATTACTTTATGTTGGCAGCTGTACTGCTTATCTAGTTTAAAGGCTATTGCGCTACACACTCACAGCTGAGTATTTAAACAACTGGATCTGATCATGGGGACAGAAGTTGCTGATTATATATTCCTACTGTTCTTCTGAATGGTGACACTGTTCTGTTCCTTTCGTTCTTTTTGGTAACTGTAGTGGCAATAGTGATCAGTAGCAGGAAAAGAAGGAATTCTAACACGGCTGGCCCTACCATTAGGTAGCGCAGGGTGGGAAACCTGTGGTCCTCTAAATCAGGGTTTTCCAAACTTGGGTCTCCAGCTGTTTTTGGACTACAACTCCCATCATCCCAAGCTAGCAGCACTAGTGGTCAGGGATGATGGGAACTGTTGTCCAAAAACAGCTGGAGACCCAAGTTTGGAAAACATTGGTCTAGATGTGGTTAGACTCCAGTTTTCATCAACCCTAGCCAGCAGAGTCAGTGGTTGGCTCTTCACATCTAGGGCTGAGTGAGGTGGCCTCTTCTACCACTGGACTAGATTACCAACTCTACAATTCTATGATTTTAGGTGTCATGAAAGGAAAGTAAATTTGTATTATTTTATTATGATTTTTACTGCCATGAAGGGGGAGAGGTGCTTTTAGACTTTTCTGCCTCGTATGCCAAAATAACTTGATCAGCTTTGGATACTATGCACTTTGGCTTGGGAAGGTGCACCATTTATTCTCTGCCTCAAGAAGCAAACTATTTTGGGCAAGCCCTAAGGAAGAGTCAGTGCCAATAGCGCTAGCAATGTCGGCAATAATAGCTTTCACAACAGAATACTCAGCCCTAGGCCCACTTAATATTTCAGTTGGCGATATTAATTAAATGACATGCATAGTTTGTAACATGACATGAACCCACCATACTATTTTCCCATGGTTAGTAAGTATCTGCAGCATTCTCTGTGGAAATGAAATGTAAAACTCTGGGGCATACAATGCAATCTGACAATAAAGTCACTCTGCGTACCTTTCTTGATTTATCCCAGAAAAAAAAGTCATCCACTAGTCTAAAGCTCTAACCTTTTTCTTTTCTTTTTTTCAGTTTCAAATTTATTGGAAAAAAATTAGAAAGTACATAAACGGAAAATCATCAAAAGAAAAAAACAGTGCAGCTATTTCAAAATGTCACATTATTGCAAAACATTCATCATATCATTTCCCGCCCCCAAAACAACCATATTTCTAAACATGGGGTGACAAGGAATTTGGTATTTCTGAATCAGTAGCATATGAGATAAAGTCTCGCCAGACTGTGCAAAAGCGTTCAGGATTCCCCACATCCTTGGACTCTCAAGCTTTTCCTTGAGGTAAGCCTAACAGCAAGAGACGATGAGAGAAAGTTTCCTCCTTATACTGTGGTGTACCCGTATTATATCCAGGAATGCACTTGCCTGTGCTATTTAAAATATTGCTATAATAGAAGGCCTAATAAATTACAGCCTGGATAAACATGCCCAAAGAAACCCAAAGCTGAATGATAAAATTCTGAATCCTTTTTTTAAGCATTTTCATTTTCTGATCCCATTATCTTCCAAGGGATTATAGTCTACTACAGTTATACTGACAAGATTTAACTAGACCTAGGGACCTTTTCAATGTATTGACAATTTGACTGCCATGTCGGCTAATTATCCCATACACACAATTCAAAAGAATGCAGCAAAGAAAATGATGACAGGGAACAACAGTTTATAGACTATTGCCCCAATCCAACAAATACAATCTGATGCTCCAATCCAGGTAGGTGACCTCAATTCATGAAGGCAGGTTTATGATTGAATATTCCAATTCTGAATGGGGAATCATGAATTCAAACAAGTGCTGCATTAACAGTTCTCCCGCCTGATCCAGCAGCGAAAATTCACTTGCTTTTTAAGCAAGCTCTTCTCCCCCCCAAACTCTCTTTTTTGCATATTCTCCTCCCTGTTGCTCTCATATGCCTTCAGCTTGACGAAAGACAGTGTGTGTATATTCATTCAAGGAATGACAGTGGTCTATTCAACCTAGCACGTCTCCATGCCAAGACAAAAATGTGATGGTTTTTTTATCTGCAAGATGTTGTTTGCAGATGATGCAGCCTTGGCAGCACACTCCAAGGAAGCTCTATAGTGACCCATCAACCATTCTGCCCAAGCCTGTGTGTTCAGCCTCACCATCAGCCTGGCAAATACCAACATCTTGGGTCAGGAGTCGCCAGCACTCCATATATCAGCACTGGTGACCAGGTAGACAATTTTGTCTACCTGGGCTCCACCATTACCAGCAACCTTTCCATTGACACTGCTGTAACTCTCCAACAGTTTGACCTTATCCCCAATGATGCACTTTTCCATGTCTCTTGAGACAGATGGATGCCAATAGTCACACTCACTCACTGTTTGGAATAGGCGGAGGCTGGATTTAGCACCTCCCAAACCGCTCTCCTGTCTTCCTGTTAAAGAAGATGATCAGTGCAATTAAGATTTAAGGCTATATATGTGCATAGCCCCAGCTGAATAGCCTATCGCACGAGAGACCAGTTGTATCCAGCAATCTGGAAAATGCATATATAACCTATAGATTAAGCAATATGTCTTGTCATTACCTTTGCAAAAGGTTGATCATTGGGCACCAGTTATCAGCCAGTACAGCCATGTGTATGTAGCATTTCTGAACCAGGGCCTATACAGGCATGTGCCTATATCTTGATTTAAATTAGGGACTTCAATATATAATATCTATTTCAATAATATCTGAGGTTTGCAATTGAGTGGATGCATGCATAGATGGGTTTAACAGCAGGACCCATGTTTTTGAAAAATGAACTTTTGTACATGCATTATTTCATTACATTTGTGTCAAAATTTAGCAAATGGTACACATATTCAATGAACAGGTGATTTATACACACAAAAGCTGCATATACATGAACTGAAGACATTTAACATATTTTTTTTAAAAAAATATGTCATATTTGTGTGGGAACAGGCTTAGCAATCTATTTAAAGAAAAACCAGTCAGTTACAATCAATTCATGTATCATTGTGAGAAACAGCATAATAATGTAAGTGCCATATACTTCAAGAGAAAAAAGAAGCAAAACATTAGATAGAAGGCAATACCTCCTAACTAAAGGGCCACTTGTAACAATATATAGTTATTTAGTACCTTTATGTTAGTTTTGTAAAGTGCTTTGGGGTTTTATTACAATCAAGCGGTATATAAATCTTGTGAGATAAATAATGATTTTATAAAGTGATTAAGGAGAGTTTGCATAAATTGTACAGACTAGTTTCCGAGTGATGAATTTTGTCATAATGTCACCTTGTCATACTCCTTTTAGTGAGGAACAGTAGCAAGCTTTCTCGCTAACCCAGCAAGATAGTAGACTGGTAAAGAAAAAGCGATTTATATGTGTTGTATGTGTGATATAACATTATGCCACCAGATGGCGATGTGGAGTCCTGTTTTTCTCTTACCTGTTTTCCCGGTTTAAATTTACTATTTAAAATGAAACACTTCTTTGACGTGTCTAGATCCAGCCTTAGACAGGATTCTCAGTTTTAATAAATAATAATAATAATAAATTTTTACCCCGCCCTTCCCACTTCAGAAAACCGGGCTCAGGGTGGCTAACAACAAATTTAAAACATTTAATTGTAATACAACATAGAAGCAGCAAAAAATACAGTATAAAAGCATGAATAACAATAAAATTCAAAGTTCAAAAATCAATTTGGGGGAAATCCATCCAATAAACATTAGATAGTCACCAGGGCTAGCTGGCTGAATTAGCTTTGTCTTACAGACCCGGTGAAAGGAGGTTAAATTCTGTAAGTCTAAAATAACAAACCTTCAAGCTTGCGGGGGGTGGGGGAATGATGCATGTCACTTCAAATCAAAGTTCGTACAATCCTTATTTTATCCGTGAAATAATTATAGATCATTTCTACATTTATCATTGGGACACTGTTATTTAAAACCATGCAATTTGTAGACTTTGTTTTCCACTCGCCTGCCATATTCTTAGATGCTAATAGGAAGATATGTATTCTTTTAAGAGACGATCCTTTGCTATCCTAACGACGTTTTTATTTTGAATAAACCACCCGGGAGCACTTCATGGCACAGATATTTGAGAAAGACACAGTAGGAAGTTCTGTTTACAAATCAATGGTACAAATATGGCTCCCTCCATTTAACTCTAGGGGTCCTCGCCCAAGTTTTCCCTGCAATCCTAATGCCTGTAATGGCAAAATTAGAGCTTTGAACTGAGAAGCCGCAAGACATTCTGTGACCTTTTAATGGCCATGCAGTGCTATTTAACAGAGAGAGGGAGAGAAGCAAACACGGCAATCTGCTATTAGGGCAAAATGTTGATCTAGCAAAGAGGGGCTTCCCGCCTAAATATATTAGTACTGGTTAACACTTCCAACTAGTACAAGGGCTTCTGACATGACAAAATGAGTATAACAGCCCCTTCTGTCAATACAACACAAATGTCATTTCAAGTGCTCAAAACCACTAAGCTACCCTAAAAAGATTGATTTATCTGCTCCAATGTTTCTTTGGGGCAAACTTTCCTCACAACTGAAACCAATTAGTGGGCCTGGCACTTGTAGTGCAGAATGTAGGTCAGCGTCAAGTAATAAAAAAGTATTGACTTTTCTCTGTCTGTAAGCAGCATGAAAGGGGTGCCATGGCCTTGTCGTATATGAAAAGAGCTCCATTAATTTCACTTATTTCAACAAGGGCTGTCAAATACTAATGCTTCTATTGCACTTTTCACACAAAGTACATTGACACCACTCCTGGCCTCAGTGAAATAAGGTTTAAAATATTTCAGCTAGTGAAAGAGGCCTACACTATAATTTTCAATTCCCACTAGTACATTTAGACACCTTAAGTAGCATTGCTCACAAAAACTATTGAGAGAGATTAGATGGGATATTAATCATGACTAACAATTACTTCCTGTGGCCAAAGGAATCTAATTCTTATGTATAACCCTATTAAAATAATAATCCAGAATGTTGGGTGTTTATTTTTTACAGAGCAGGCAAACACTGTCCATTGTGGGTTTTGTGTCAACAAACACCCACAAATCACAGGTAAACCATCTGCAATGTTGCACTACAATCCTGCCAGCCACTTTGCTTGGAATTTTCATGATGCATTTTGTTCCCTGAAACATAGCCTTGTTTTTATGAAGACTATAGTTAGATTCACATTTACTTACAGCCATATAAACTCTGATGCGAGCTGAAAAACTCTCTGCTTGCAAATGCTCCCTCATTGAAGCAACTGTGATCTGCACACATAAAGGAATTAATTTCCTCTTTCATATGTGAGCAAAATATCTATGTGCACACCTGAGAACAAATGGGCATGTGGATTGAGGTAACAGTATCTGATACCATATGAGACACAACCACTCAAGTGCCAGATTACCAAATAGGCAGAATAGGCACAGGCCTATGAGCCTGAAGCCTTTTAGGGGCCCCACAATAAAATATAAAAGTAATATTGATTTGATCTTAAAAGAAAATTACAATCAAGTTTTCTTAGTTCAATGTTATCCCACTAAAATAAAAAACGTATTAGGGGATAATTTGCAAGAGGACCCCTGAGATTTCAACTACCTAGGGGCACTTTAACCACTTTGCATTTGTTAACACGAATTACTAATTCCATGATCTTTTTGGGGGGAGGGGGGAGATTTCTTAACATGCTATCTTGGAAATATACCACTTCCTTGCTGCTTTGACCTTTACTCCATATATTTAGAATGTTTGGATAAGGATTTCCTTATATTGGACAGTGATTTTAGTGATTTAGTGATTTTTAGCAAGACTGAGATTTATTTTAGCCTCACTGAAGTCAATGAGAATACACTATTTTAATTCAAGTAGTTCAACTTACAGTGGTACCTCGCAAGACGAATGCCTCGCAAGACGGAAAACTCGCAAGACGAAAGGGTTTTCCGTTTTTGAGTTGCTTCGCAAGACGATTTTCCCTATGGGCTTGCTTCGCAAGACGGAAACGTCTTGCAAGTTTGTTTCCTTTTTCTTAAAACCGTTAATACAGTTGCGACTTGACTTCGAGGAGCAACTCACAGCACGCGGTGTGCGTCTCCGTAGGGGCAAGAACGCGTAAAGGCGGGTTCTGAGGGAGAGGGAGTTTTGTTTCGGCGAAAAATAGCAAGGCGCGCACACTTCCCTCCCCACAACTCCCAGTTAGGGAGGCCAGGCTCCGGGGCTCTTCGGACGGGGCTCCTTCCTTCTCCCCTCCCCAGCGCCCCGGCGGTGACAAGAGCGCCTGCCCAGGCCCTCCGGCGCTCGCCCTGCGAGGGGCGCCCCCTACCTGCATCTCCGCGCTTTCCAACCCCGCGACGTCGACGGCTGCGGCAAGTTTGCCTCTCGGTGTGTGTGCACACGAGTGTGTGTTCTCGCCCTGCTCGAGTTAGTCCCGGCGCAGCGCAGGCAGCAGGTGAGTCGCCCTTTGGCAGCGCGGAAGGCGCCGGGCCAGGCAAGGTCAGCTCGGGAGCCACCGGGGACGCGCCCCCGCGCTCCTCTCCAACGGGCTGGATGCACCCCTCTGCGTTCGCGCGCTTCTGGCTGGCTGGCCGGCTGCAGCAGCAACAGGGGCAATAGGTATCCACCGTCGCTGACGCTCCCTCCCTCCCTCCTGTCCGCGGCGGGCGGCTGGCTGGCTGGCACTCTCGCTTTCTTTCGGGCTGCTGCTGCAGAAGGGATTTTGCAGCAGACAACTTTTAGGCCGGTAGGAGTTTTGACTACCGCGGCGACAGCAGCAGCAGCAGCAAGACGGCACCGACTGTAGTGCAAAGGGTCGGAGCAAGGCGAGCCGAACCGATCCCGGGGGCTCAGGCAGCAACCTCCGCCCCGCCTCCCCCCACGCCCCGCGCCCGCCTCTCCCTCCCTCCCAAGCACCCCCCTTTTTTGAGGTTTTTGAAGACTTTGGTGATTTTTGAAGCTTTTCCAAAACTTTCCCGACACCGTGCTTCACAAGACGAAAAAAATCGCAAGACGAAAAAACTCGCGGAACGAATTAATTTCGTCTTGCGAGGCACCACTGTAATTGCTTTATAGATGGGAATCTGTGTAACCTAAGTATTTGGAGGTGGTAAAAGGCCTCCCATTGTTATTAAGAGAGTATGGATTTATCACTACCCGAAGGAGTCTCAAAGCAGCTAACATTCTCCTTTCCCTTCCTCCCCCACAACAAACACTCTGTGAGGTGAGTGGGGCTAAGAGACTTCAGAGAAGTGTGACTGGCCCAAGGTCACCCAGCAGCTGCATGTGGAGGAGCAGGGAAGCAAACCCGGTTCACCAGTTTACGAGTCCACCGCTCTTAACCACTACACCACACTGGCTCTAGTAGAAATCACCAAGTGAAGTCCTTACCAACCAACCAGCCAAAGAAAGGATTGTTCTTATCATTCTGCAAACTGCCAAATAGAACATAGATTCATGAATGAAAACACCCACTAGTTACCAATGTCTTGTCCAGTTATAACAAACACTCACATAGTTATAACATAGTTTACCAATTCATTTGCACATGAGTACCTTAGCTAAATGAAATCTTGGGAAAAGTTTTTTCTGCATAGGGATTTAATGTATTTCATTTGAACTTGAGGGTTGCCTCTGAATAGTCTGTACATGACGCTATGCCAAACCATATGAAATAAACCATGGCTAAGTGAACTGTAAAACAAAAAGAAACTGTGGCTGCAGTTTATGATGTAGCAGGGCAAACTATGAGCATGTGTTCAGATGTGGCATTAAGCCAAGCCATGGCTTAACTCTAGGTAGGACGGCAGCAGCAAGATCTAAAGAACAGTGAAGCTCCTGTGATTTTATTGTGTGTGTCCATACTTGGCCATGGTTTGACTTAGCATTACATGGTAACCAGGCCAATATGTCAAACCCAATGGCTAATTGCCTCCTTAAAATGCAAGCAAAGCTGATTTAAAAAAACAAACCCTCTGACTTAAAAAGGCTAGCTGACTAAAATGGAGGGCAATTTTCAACTTGCTTTAATGACTTTATAAGTATGCTTTGAATCAACTTATCATTCATTTTTAAAATACAAAATGATACTGGCTAGTCATCATGAAACAATGTTATGTCCTTCTGCATGATACTTTCATCATACTATTTTCTCTGTTTGATAGTCTATTTGGTTATTGACAGAGAGCATATGATAATATGCTGTACAAATATCAGGAAATTATTCGCACAGTGGGAAGCCTGCTAACAACATTATTTTAATATCTTATCTTTCAGACAGAGGCAGAAAACATATTAATTGCAGCTTAATATATGCAACAAACATTTCATTATAATTTTACTTAAATTTTGACCAAGCCTCTTAAGAAATAGTATATTATACATACTTCTCTCAGTGTTGTAAATCGAGGCACTAGAATCAAACAGTCTTGTGAGAAATTATAAAAGACTTGTAATTACTGCTTCTGAGTTTGAATAATTACTTATCTGATTGTCTCTTTACAAGTGGCCCAAATTAAGACTCTTAGAGCATTGTTAGTCTGTCCCTTGAGATGTCCCAAAGAGAAACAGTAAAGCTTACCTTGGAGCTTACCTCCACAAGCATTTTTGGGAGAAGGGGTTGGTTCGGCTTCAGATACACATCAAACCCACACAATGCAAATGAAAACCATCCTCTGCTGCATTGGTCATATGCACACTTGCAATGCAGAAGGGGATGAGATCCATATTTTAAAATAGAGCGATGTTGGCATAAAATTCTCCCCAGGATAACTGTTGTTGCAGCTTTTACAAGTACTAGTTCTGATGGCACTTGCTTCTGATGCTCACAGGATGACCAGGGAGGTAAGGAGAAGCACATCCAAATAATTGCCTGCCATACATATATGAACCAGAAGCTGCCACAACAAGCACGGCAGAGGTGGAACAATCAAAATAGCAGCCATGATGGGCTTAATTCCTCCCTTTTAAAGAGCCACCACTTTCTGTCCTCTTTAAAAGGAAGCATTCATTTATCACTACATTTATATGCCTCCCTTTTCTTCCAAGGAGCTCAAGGTGGTTCTCCTCCCGCAAATGTCATCCTCACAACAACCCTGTGAGGTAGGGCAGGCTAAGGGATGGTGACTGACCCAAGGTCAGTAAGCTTCATGGCTGAGTGGGGATTCAAACCCTGGCCTCCCAGGTCATAATCCAACACTAGCACTATAGTACACACCTGCACACAACTGGGACAGCTTGAAACAGGCTGTCAATAGGAGGTCCACTGGGGGTTAGAGGTTGTGAAGTACAGAACAGTAGAGCAGAGAACAAATCCCAGGTGAGTCAAATAAAAGCAAGCAGCGTGTTATTTATTACCGTATTTTTTGCACCATAACACTCACTTTTTTCCTCCTAAAAAGTAAGGGAAAATGTCTGTGCGTGTTATGGAGGGAATGCCTATGGGTGGCATGCCTACGGATTTTCCTCCTCTAAAAACTACATGCGTGTTATGGTCGGGTGCGTGTTATAGAGCGAAAAATACGGTACATGATATCAGAGAGGCTCAACACGCAGAACAGTCAAACCTTGCAGCTTTCTCCATCATGGATTTGTGACAAGTCTGGAAACTAACGGGGAAAAGTCCACTTCTACCATATAACAGTCATTTTGGGGCATAACTCCAAGTGGAATCCTGGAGGCTTGCTTCTACACACACACACACACACACACACACACACTCAAGATTAATAATCTAAGAGCCTTCTGCTGGATCAATGCCCATCCAGTCCAACTTCCTATTCTCACAGCGGCCAACCAGATGCCTATGGGAAGCATGCAAGCAGGAGCTTAGCATGGCAGTACTCTCTCCTGCTGTGGTTTCCAGCAACTGTTATTCAGAAGTGTGCACCCCAAAGAGTGGAGACAGAAGATGCTCACCATAGTTAATAATCCATGATAGTCTTATCCATGAATTTGTCTAATCCTCTTTTAAAGCCACCCTAGTTGGTGGCCATCACTACTTTTGGAAGCAGCGAATTCCATAGTTTAACAATAAGTGCTTTCTTTTGTCTGTCCTGAGTCTTCCAGCATTCAGCTTCGCTGGATGTCCAAGAATTCCAGTGTTGGGAGAAAGGGAGAAAAACTTTCCCCTACCCACTTCCTCAACCCCATGCATAATTTTATTGCTTCTTACTTGCCTTTTCCTTAATTAAGCTTAAAAGGCCTAAATGTTATAGGCTTTTTAAGCTATGGCCTTTCCTCCATAGTTGCTCCACCCCCTTGATCAATGTGGTTACATTTCCAACTGTAAAACATATTTTTGGAGGTGAGGCAACCAGAACTATACATATTACTCCAACTGCACCACCACCTCAGATTTGTATATTTGGCAGTTTTATCTTCAATTCCTTTCCTAATTATCTCTAGTGTGAAATTTACCTTTTCACAGCTGCTGCACAATATGAAATATCGACTTGTTACTGTTTGGGAAGATTGTGATGCGCAAGGTAAAGCATTCAAAAGTAAAGCCCTACTGAATTCAATGGGATGTATTCCTATGCAAGTGTGTATGGGACTGCAACCCAAATCTACGCTGCTCCTCCCCAAAAAATTCTGGAGCAATTTCTGGCATTGCCAATTTTTTATATCATACAGTTGCTTGATTAAAAAAGAGTAAGATAGATTGCACTCAGGTTTATTCAGTAATAGTGGAAAGTGTCCAACACAGTAAATATAGAGCTGGTTCACACATGCATCACTTGATTTATCACTGCTTGGTTACCCAACTCTGACTGATGGCTATATGTGTGAACTGTCTTATCTGAATAATGGACCAATATCCCTATGTATCCATCTTCTAATTTGCATAGGTCCAACGTACCTTAGAAACAGCCACCCCTCCCCATTATGTGATCAACCCAGGGCACTTCCTAAACCATGAAATCTATTTTTGAATCAGCTGCCAAGGATGTAGAGAGAGCCATTCTTGGTCACAGTCAGTGCTTTTTTTCTGGGGGGATGCAGGGGTACACATACCCCTAAACATTTTGTGAATCTAAGTTTAGCTTCATCGAGGGGCAGTATTTCAATATGAGTAGGAAAATGAGAGTACCCCTAGAAAAAAAGCACTGGTCATAATTATACAACACCTCTTCCTTAGTGATTCTTCCATCCTAACCTAAGCACGTTGTTGTTGTTGTTGTTTAGTCGTGTCCAACTCTTTGTGACCCCATGGACCAGAGCATGCCAGGCACTCCTGTCTTCCACAACCTAAGAACAAGCCTACATATTTATGTTAGATTTGGCAGGGCAAGAGTTAAGGTTATAGTGGATGAAGAGATGTCTGAATGAATTTTGTTTTGCGTTGGTAGGATATTATAATATGTTTTCACATTCTCTTTTATATTTAGTGTTACTTTCCAAGAGCCTGTAAAATGGGGTGGGGTATACATTTCCGTGAAAATGTGGCCGTAAGTTTCAAAACATTGCATTTCGCCCATTTCTCTTATATCATACACCAGAGGAAATGGCACTAGCTGCCTTATTTTGTTTTGGACATATCTAATATCTATATTTGAACCAAAATTGCCAAAGATAATATTCTATTTTTGGAACTAATGCGGTCTTTATTACAGCTAAATTAAATTAAGACAGTGATGTGAATTTCCTCACAAGCTATTTCATACTTGGATACCCTTGAACTTTACTGAATCAGAGCTAAAAAGCAAACGTGCAGATGAAATTGTTGGATTGGTATTTGGAACTTATTGGCTATTGTAATTCAAGCCTTAGTTTAGTCCAGGGCAATTTCCAAAAGTATTCCTTATAAAGGGAGTAGATGGTCAAAAGCTTCATCTTCATCCATTCACGATTAATAAATGTCATTTGTCAAATATGAACATTTGCAAATGACTAATAAATATTTTTATGAAAAAACAAGTCTACCTGAAGTGGGATTATGCTTAATATATTCTGTGCACAAATAAAATATATTTCATTTAAACTATTTCCTCAAAAGTGAAGAAATGCAATATAAATATGCAGGTATTTTTAAATCCTTCAATCATACACATTCCACTATCATACAACTAGCAGAACTAAACAAAGGGTGTATAACAAGCAATACACTTTGTTATTAGTTCAAATTGTTAGTTGAATCCCACGAAGCTCTCTGTGATGTCACCAATGCAGTATAATCATTGACAAAATCAAGGGGGTACCACAGCGAACAGGAAAATAAGGGCATGGGAAAATAAGGGCAAAGGAGGAGGGGGGAAGTGGAATTTAGAATAACAGGATCAAAATACTGCAAATGTGCTAACACATCCTGAAATCCATGAAACAGGAGATAGTTCTTGACATGTAAAGTAACAAGCAGAGAAATGAGGGAAATATATTTAGTTTCAGCCCTGTGTTATTTAAGTAATACTTTGAAGGAATGAATTTGACAGTGTATTTGTCAATACTCATGCAGAACTTCTAAAGAATCATCATATAGCAGAATACCAGTAGAGACTGTAAATTAGCAAGAACTTGGGATTTTAACAATTGTGCACCTTTCTACCTTAAGGAAATTAGAGGCACCGTGAAAATTCCCAACGTGATCCCAAGGGCTTGGGATTCAAGCTGAAATGTTTCTATTCTTGGGCTACTAATATATTTTGAACTTCCATTGCCAGGAGGTTTGACATTTGCAGAAACAACAAATTACACCCAATTTTGCTGAATGATATACAGAGGAATGCAATCCGAATCATTCATTTAATTTAAAACCTCTGGTGAGATTTAAGACATCCATCCGCACACACTGTATCTCATGTGATTATGCCAGTATACATCAAACCCCAGTAATAACGATTCATATCCATATATGTGTATATGCTTTATTGCTACCTTTAGCGGGATTAAAAGCAGTATATCAAATTTTACAGTTGTGCTCCTTTTATTAGCTTCTTACCACTTGATCAGCTGATAGAGGCAATAATGAACACGCACACACACACACAAACACACATATCCACACAGACTGGAGTCTGCATTTGCGTGTTCTATCTTAAGAATGTAATATTTCAAAAAACAGCCTAAGCTTTGGGGAAAAAACCAATTACAGAAACAGCATTAAAAATGCCAAGCACCGGGCAGAAGCAATTCTGGATCAGTTTAAAAAAGTGATTGATGAAACTCTAATCTGAGCTGAAGGAACAGTTTCACGACAAGCTGTGACCATTCCACACACTTCATTAGCTGCCATAATTAGCCTGGTGTTTCAATTTGTTAGAACTGGTGGGGACAATTTTACTCAGAATACAAACATCAAAAAGCAGGGTCTCTCCGACTTCAGAAGTGGCTGATGAGAGGCTTTCTAGTCTTTCTGTTAACGAAAAGATTAATTACAGCTGATGGGAGGCTGTACTCTGATTGTCACTCTGTCTATGTACATTACTTTTAGCATTAGAAGAAAGACATGGTTGACACTGCGCTGCTCCATCAAGCAGCTTCACATCAGGGCACCAAGTCTGTTTTAATATGCATGGTCTTGTATTGTTTGATTGACTTGTTCTCTACTTCTCCAGGTCCCAAGCTCTGTCACCAACTAGATTGTACCAACAGAACAGCAGGTTATACAGTGGCATGCAGGGCAGGTATAATACTCAGGACATCATTATTCCATTACAGTACACACACACACACACACACACACACACACACACACACACAGAGTTCCTTATTAATATATCACAAAGCTTCACTTTACTTGTCCTGCTCTGCGTAAAATGACAAAAATATAATCTCCAGTCCTGGAAAAATGTAGTATTTTTCACAGAGCGGGGCAAGCAATTTATGCTAGGATAATCCTTTCTCACGTAGCACAAAGCCATCTTCACAGATACAAACGTTCATTAACTGACTCGATTTTGCACGCCTTTGCATTCTGGAAAGTCACAAAGACTTGACAGAAATTTGGGTACTTTATTCTGACCGTTCAAATTTGATCGTTTGTCTGGCTTTTTGTGGAGCATGAACCTAAAAGGTTCCATCTAAGTTGAAGTCTGGAGCTATTACTAACTCAGCCTTGGTGATGAGCTATCCTTTCTGCATAGCTTGGAAGCACCACCCACTTCAGTGAACCTGCCTTTAACCAGCAGGGTTAAAGAATATACGTAATTGCAATTTTCTACCTATTATTTAGAGCACACAATAGTAGTGACTGCAACTAGCACTGCAATCCAGACCACAATACACCCAGTCATGTCTCTCTTCACTGTTGCTGGGCCCAGAATGTGGACCTTCTTCACTGGGGAGGGCTCATCTTGTCCCTCCTTGCTGGCCTTCTGACTTAGCATTAAAACCTTCCTGTTTAGGATAACATTGGTCTCCAGCAGATAGATGTTAATGCTTGCCAGCCATAATTATTTATGATCTCCCTCTTTGTGTTTTTACTTTGTTTTTATTCTGCCTTTTGTTTTTATTATAGTTCATGGTGCCTCTTACAGTGGTTATTTTTAAAATGTTTTATCGCTGGTCTTTGTTGGTGCCTGTTCTTTTTGTATATCGCTTTTATATTGCATCTTGCTACTTCTGTAAGCTGTAAATTACAAATCCTTCATTCATTGACAATCACATATTTGAAGCTATTAGATCAAATTAATGTTAGCACAGTGCACTTTTTGTAGCATTCAAAGAAATGGTGACGGATATCTTTCTACCTACAACAAGCACAACTGCATAGTAGTTCATGGGCAGCTACCCTGGGGCAAAACTGGCTGGAGACCATAGCTAGAAGGATGGGTCAAAGCTTTGCTGGCTAAAACCGCATTTCCCCCCTAAGCGACTATAGGTTTTCCTCTTTCTGGTTAACTTGTATCCTGATTGTTCACAGATGACAACAAGCTTTTTAGCACATTCTGGTGCAACCAGCAGCACTCAAAACAAATCTGAATAACTTTGGGAAGAGGTGAGAAAGAGTTTGCCATCTCTCTCTTTTGGGAGGTCTCCCAAAAATTTCTTGTTTGTTAACAGAGCATCAGTCTTGTTAACTATACATAAAAACTCTGCTATCCTGTAATCTCAGTAAAGAATTGTGTGGAAAATCTGCAGACTCTTTGACTTGACTTAGCAGTTATTAAAAGGTAGATTTTCTTCCCCTGCCGAAACAAGCTATTTGCCTGATTAAACATAGAAGATAGGTAACACAAGACATTTATCATGCAACAGACGAACGACACAGGATTGCTAGTTAGACAGTTTAATAAGTGCCATCTAATTTTTCTCTTCAGACTATATTTATTCTTCAAAGTCCAATAACATTATCAAAGCATGGAATTTTCCCACTGAGAAATAATAGAACTAAAAATAAGGTTTTATAAAATATAGAACTGGTTGCTTGACAATCTGTATTCAAATACATTAGAAAGTGCTGACAGTGCCTTTTCTCATGCAAATAACTTTACTGAATGGCTCAATTTTTTTCTAGTCACTACTTGAAATCATTCCTTCTGAATTATTTTCTTTGAGCCACCTTCAAAGGAGTATTATTACAATGTTCTTGTTGCCCCCGCATCCGTTCACACAGACAGGAATCCAAAGGTGCCACTGCACATGTGAAAGGCACTTCCGCTTTTATCGGCATGTGTGTACTTATTTTATTTCAGAATGAATTAATTGCCCTACGTTCCAGGTTTACCCAAGCAGTATAATAAAATGTGTATGATGTTTCTTGATTCTCCCTTGCAGCTTTATAAATCCACTGTGACACATCCCATCCCAATACAAAGGGTCTCCCAACCCTCTTGAAATGCTTTTCAGTGGCTCAGGGAACAATAATTGTAGAATTGTAGAGTTGGAAGAGACCCTGAGTATCATCTAGTCCAACCCCCTGCAATGCAGGCATATGCAGCTCTCCCATACGAGGATTTAACCTACAACCACCTGTTTCTGTGATTTTTCCAACTCTACAGTATCTTTTCCAAAGTGAGGTGACAAGAACTGTACACAGCATTCCAAATGCAGTTTTACCACAGATTACGATACTGGCAGTTTGATTTTCCATTTCTTTCCTGATGATCCCTACCATGGAAGCTGCATTCTTCACAGCTGATGCACACTGGGTCTGCAACTTTATCAGGCTAGCCACTATGACCCCAAGGTCTTGTTCCTTCTAAGTGACCACCAGTTTAGGCCCCATGAGCATATGTGTGAAATTGAGATTCCACCCTGCCAACATGCATCACTTTATACTTGTTTATACTGAATTGCATCTGCCATTTTACCACCCAATGACTCAGTTTGGAGAAGTCCCTTTGGACCTCTTCACAATCCCATTTTAACAACCCTGAACAGTTAAGGATCATCTGCAAACTTGGCCACGTCACTCCTTACTCTAAATTGCTTATGAACAAGTTGAAACACACAGGTCCCAATACCGATCCTTGGGGAACTTCCATTTCTGCAGCCCTCCATTGGGAGAATTGTCCATTTATCCCTGCTCTCTATTTCCCATTACTTAACCAGTTCCTGATCCACAAGAGGATCATTAAAAACAATTAAACACTGATAGAATTAAAACTATATATATATGCATAAACAATCTACTAAAACCATCCAAATAATTACAATAAAAACAGCATGGCACCAGCCCTTTCATTAAAAGCAGTAAGTTCCCAAAGCCTGTTGAGACAGGACTTCCCCTTGCAGAAGCCATGCTGGTTCTGCTTCAGCCAGGCTTGTTCTTCTATATGCTTGGCGGCTTTATCTTTATAATATTTTCTGCCAGTTTTGCCAAGACATTAGGAAAACAGATAAATGTTATTTTAGTTTGGCACTGACAATACAAAGGTAAAATGTCTTTGCCATTATCAATGGAACTGCACCAGTTGTGCATAGCTAAATATTTTTCTTTTCAGCCTATGCAAGGAACTTGGTATCTGATTAATGCAACTGGCAACTCAGAAGAGGTTTCCCCTTTCTTGATACCTAATTAATTGCCAATATTAATGAAATGAAACCATTTTAAACAAACAGCTAGACTGGCTGTTTTGCAGCGTGCTTGGATCATCAATTCACATATACAGACTTCTTCCTGAAATTGCAGTAGGATGGACTGTTGAGCTTGAAAAGCATATTTTATCCCAATCAGTGTGCAAAAGTAAAATTATCCATAACTAAGCCATGTTTCTCTGCCGTACAGTTTAGCTGTAATGATCCCCACACACTGCACTCACACATCAATTATGATAATCATAATCACGGTCGTTAAGCTGAATGTTCATTATTATCAGGATGCTGGTGACAGCAGATTCAATCATCGGGTGCAATGGGCAGGCAGTCACAGTCCCACCCAAGTTTCTGCAGACAGCGTTGTGCCACATTAAGCCTATGATGTGTTCCACATCCCACTCCATTTCAAAAGCTGCAGACGGTAAAGGTCAACTTTATGTTCTATGCAATATGCTTAGGTTCTCTAAATCAATTCTTTGGAGTGCTGGCTATTTTTATGCTTTGTAGATAATAAAATTCTATTTAGGGCCAAATATGCATGCGCAAATAAGGAAAGAGGCACGCATCTGTGTTGTAAGTCACCTATAATAAGGCAAACAGCAGAAAGCTCTACAAAGAATGCCACTTCCTTGTTTGCAAAAACAAGGACATACCAAAAATTACTGCCATTAAAAGCCAGATGTCTTAAAACGCATATGAAAACTAATTCCACTTCAGATTAAAGGCTGTAGGCTATAATTTCTGCTTCAGTGAATATTGAGAGAGTGCAAGTGTTCTGACAACTGAAAGATTAGTTAGTATATCTGATCGCTTGTCTGTCCAGTTTCATAGGATCTATCAGTGTTGATTAAATTCATGGCATCTGGTAGTTTCTGAATCCTGAAACTTCGCAGTTGTAAGGGCAGTATTAGTCATTTGGAAGCTTTGAACCAAGGAAAATACTTTTGTCAAGTGTAACGTCTGAACAAAGCACATTACTTTACCTTAAATCTTTCAGATATATAGATATATAAAGTTCATCTGAGTTTTAAGTTGATTTATAGTGATTTTAGTAATTTACTGTGTAATAATTCTGCTAGTGCCTCGGAAATATGAATATATGATCTTTGCCAGTGGTCTGCTATCAACTTCGCTGCATGGACACAGCAATACTATGACCCTCCTTCTGAACTATGCCAAAATAGGCAACAAATACTGAACCTAGAACTGCCACCACCTTAGCAGCAACCACTAGTATGGTCGTACCGCTAGCTGCTCTCTGTACGTGCACCATGTACTCAACTGGTGATAGAGAAATAAAAGCCTCCATTGCCTCCATTTTTAAAGACATTGTTACTCTATGTTCATTTTGGTTCAATAGACAAAGTTGCGAACATGGATTTGGTAGATCATTTCTATCCTAAATCAGACCTGTGACTCAGGCCCACGTCCTACTTTAAAATTTCAGCTTGGGTTCACAAAGAAGCTCACAATGCTATATAAAAAAATTGAAAAAGAAATATAAGGCTGTAGCTTTTAACTTAATCACAATTTCCCATTATGTCAGAACCACAGGTGTGGGAAACTTTTGGTCTATCAGATGTTGCCCATCATCCCTAGCCATTGACCATGCTTGCTGGAACTGATGGGAGTTGTAGTTCAGCAACATCCAGAGGGCCAAAGGTTCCCTGCTCCTGGTTTAAACAAACCACAGTTCTCCGAGTCTGGACAAAATGGGGAACCACGATGTCGGAAATCAAGCCTTTATCAGGAGAAACTGGCAACTCTCCCAGGCACCCGGCTTGGTCTCCTGTTGACCTCCCTGTCTGCTTTCCCGGCAAGATCCAGGCTAGGTCGCGATAGGCGATTCTTCTCAGCGTGAGAAGAACACCCCCCCCTCTTTGTTGCCCCCCCCCCCGGCAGGAGAAAGAGATAGACAGAAACGTATTTACATGCCTTTATTTCTGTCTTTGCAGCATTACAAAAAACATGACTGCTCTCTTCAAACTCCAGCAGTCGAGTGACCAACACTTCCTGTACTTCCTGTACAGCTCATATTACCCTCTGAGCTAATTCCGGTGCTTCGCACTGTGAATTGACTGTCCCTCTGTTTCCCACGGACAGTCCCAACATCATGTGATGTTTTCAAGCTAGCAGCTCGCAGCTGCATTGCTTCTATATCATAACACACAGCTAGCTTAAGCGCAAAAGTGGCTTTCAATTTCTCATTGTAGGTGGAAATAAGGGAGAGGAGGAAGTGCAGGTCTCAGCATGGCAAGAAACCATGGTATCTGTTACGTCTGAACTGAACCAAAGTGTGTTTAATCTCTTCTTAGGCTACAATTATTATTGTGTTGGTTCTCAAATTATGGTTTGACACTGTAGGAATGAGTCCTGTGTCTGTGTGTGCGCATGCCCCTTTCCTCTCTCCTGGTCCCACAAGCTCCTCTTCAATTAGTTATTTCCTAATATGATCAAAGCATAGGTTGCTTTTATGTCAAACTGACAAAACATGGGTTACACATGCCCTCCAAACCAAGACTGCAAAACAGCTTCAGCTTCAAACCATGTTTGCGATTTTAGTTTGGAGGGCAAGTACAAAACAGTTTTACCACTGAAACATCAAAATATGGTTTGTTCAAGCCAAATTACAACTGAAGTACAGCATATGCATGGTGGGGAGGGAGCGCGTAACCGCTGCTCTTTCCTATAGCATCAAACCATGATTTAGCATGGCATCTGAATGAAGCCACTATCAATTAGGTAACAAAAGCTGCAGTTCAGTTCACATTAAGGTTGCTTAAATCACATTGATTTCTATGGGATTTGAGCTGCAGAACTGGAGCCCAAATATGTATTTTGCTGCTATAGACTAATGCAGCTATGAACTAGAGTGGGTCAAAAGGTCAGTATCTTGGGCAGCAATTATTTGAATTTTATCATCTGACACTGTAAACTGTTAGCGTATCTAGTAGGCTGTAATCCCCACCCCAGGATGCTACAGAGAAAATCATGTGTCAAGGTAGCAGAACCCAAGTGTGCAGAGCAGTTTCTATGTAGTCTCTTTTAACTTGAGTCTACAGGGAGCTTACATAAAATCAGAATTTTTTTGCTTCCCCAAACTGACAAGAACTCAGAAAAGCAGCCGAGAAGCAATTGTTCAATTGTTTTCTTTCCATTTCATGCTTTGTGACTGATGATCTATATTAGTTCCATTTTTAAACTTTTGACATCCTATCCCATATTGAATTCCTTCCACTGAACAGCTATTTATACAATGTTAAAAGTTTTGAGAAACATTGAGGCCTGTAGCAAGAAATTCTGAAATGAGATTTTAGCAAATCAGACAATTCTGGAAATGTCTGAAAACAGCAATACATTTCCAGTCATGTCTAGTCAGGAAAGAGAGAAAGTAACAGACAAACTATTTTCTTCTCTTGTTATTGAAAGATTCCACCATTATTTTCTCCTTCTTTGTAAAACAAACAGGGTTGGGGGGAAAGGTCACCCTATTTTATGTGATCCTCACAGGGAAAGGAAGCAAATTTAGGTCCCCAAAGAGAGGTGTGAGTTCACCATTTTTTCAGGTGTGTGTGTTGAACTTTGCTGCCATTTGAGGAGGTAGGTTCTTCTAACCCTGAATGTAATCAAGAACAACACACAAAAACCCCCTAATATCTCCATCTCTTCTTCCTTGCTCACCTCAGCCAGAAAGAAACACAACCATAATTCTCCTCTTCATTTGACCCCCAACTTCTTGTCGACTTAATCACACTGATCCTTTATATAATAGTATGGCAATGTTATCAACAACTGTGATTGCCCTATGCCTGTTTTCTTTAATGTATTAACAAAATATGTTTGAAACTCTTAATAGAAATACAAAAACACACAACAAAAACCAGGGTAAGGTTGTTGCATATAATTTGGGGAACTGGACTTTTATCCAGTAATCACTTATGCTGTGCATGCGCGCACTGAGGTCCTTCTTTTGCTAGACTTCCCTGTTCATTTCAATGCAGTGAAATGTTAATCCTTTTGGTACAATCTCAAGAACTGGTGTAAAGCGTTGAGCACCCTCATCTTTGAATGTTCTTCAGTGCAGAAAAGGGAAACTACCCGTCTTACAAAATGCAGCCCTAAGAATAATACTTTTTAAAATACATTATTGGTAAGTGAAAGTTTTAATTTCATTATGCCAAACCACCGTGTGTGTGTGTGTGTGTGTATTGTGATGTTCTTAATTATTGTGTACCATTGCTGCACTTATTATATTCCTTATTGCCTTGAGGAGGAGGAGTAATTTTTAAGCATCACCTTTCAATAATTAGGGCAATATTTCTATAGCTTCATATTTACCTGATTTTTTAAAAAGTAAAAGCTTATTCTTTTTAACAATTTCCATTTTTTCTTTTTCTTCGATATACAGCAGAGGAGTTTCAGTTCATATTTTACTCTCCTGAAAGCTCTGTATAGTTTCCCAATTCAGTGAGCTTTTATGTCATTTCAGTAGAAATTGATTTAGTGGAGTGTATCTGATTGATTTTGATATTTTTAAGAAGTCTACAAAGCTGTAACTTTGCTTTGGTTTCCCAACATAACTCACCTTATTTGTTATCCATTTCTCTGGGTGTTCTTCCCGGAAGTGTTTGAGCCCGTAACTCGATTGACCATATTTACTTGCTGTTTGGATTGATGGGACATACTTATCAACTCTGTGGCCTGAAAATGGCAAAAACCTGAAAGGTGAAACACATATATGTTTATTTAATATATTTTTTCATTCTACTAGTACAGGTCATATAAATCACAAGGGAACTGTAAAATGTGGAAAGCATTTGTTTCAGTGCACAACCATTTTATACAGCCATAGTCTATCATTGCTGTTACATAGTTAATGAATGCCCCCCTTTACTTCTCCCCTATGCCTTTCATTTTGCATAGTACAGCTGAAAGTAAATTACACAGAAGCTGCTTTATAAAAACTTCATCATCTCAACAGAAATGATGGCAGTAAAGGCAATGACTGATGTGTGCAGGGATTACACTCCTGACTCCCACGTGTGCCAGTAGAGTGTGCATAAGCCTGCTCTGCCCACCCCCATTCTGCCCCCTTTTATGACCACTTCCGGGTCACCACAATGTGTGTAAATCAGCCATTGCCTGTACAGCCTATTCTGGGGCCAAATGATTCTTCAATAACCAAAAGACAGACCGGGATAAAAATATCACTCTTTGCCAACTCAGGGACAGCTTCAGGTATTTCGTTTTCTAAAACTTCAGACCAATCACTAGAGAGAGCTTATTTGGCTATGTGCCATGTGCTTCAGTTATTTCTGGTTTGGACTACTGCACTATGCTGGTCATGAGACAGCCCTTGGAAACTGTTTCCAACTTCAGCTGGTTCAAAATGCTGCTGCCGAAATTCTGATGATGATGATGATGATTACAGTGGCACCTTGGTTCTCAAACTTAATCCGTTCCGGGAGTCTGTTCGCCTCCCGAAACCGTTCAAAAACCGAGGCATGGCTTCCGATTGGCTGCAGGAGCTTCCTGCACTCAATCGGAAGCTGTAGAAGCCGCAGAAGACATTTGGCTTCCAAATAATGTTCGCAAACTGGAACACTCACGTCCAGGTTTGCGGCGTTTGGGAGCTGATTTGTTCGACAACTAAGCCGTTTGGGAACCAATGTGCCATTGTATTATGAATCCTGCACACTGTTCCTGAGTGCATCAGAGGCAGAATGGAGGTGGGGAGGCTGAGCTGGCTGAGAAGGGCAACTCAGTGACCTTAGGATGCAGAAGGTCACAGGTTCAATCCCTGGCACTGCTGGATAGGACTCCTGCCTGAAACCTTGGAGAGCCAGTCAGGCCCCCACACATCTCCCCATTTCTTCACTAGGAACTAGGTCCTGGTGGGGATTTCTCCCGTACCTCATCTATGGGTTCTGGAGACATGAACAGAATTCATTTTGTATCAGACTCCAATAAAACATCAGTGGTAAGCAATGTAACTACCCCTTGCCTTCAGGTGTGGAGGTGCAGGAAAGTAATTTGACATCAAGAGAAGTTCTTGCTAAGGGGAAAAAGTTGGTTGTTTGCTCATTAGGTGGGGCATCAAATAGGATACCATAATACTGTAGTGAGAATAGAAGCCAACTCCCAGGGGCTATGGGGGCTTTGGCCCCCACAATAAAATATTAGATGGGGCAGGGGCCCCACAAAGTTGATGGGCATTTCCATTCAAATGGTATATGTGGGACTGTGTCATGTGATCAATTACGCATTGTGTCATGTGATCGGTTATGCGGGGCAGGGCTTACCTGGGCCTCCAAAATAATTTATTCAAGTTGGCACCCCTGGTAGTAAGAAAGGGTAATTACGGTGCTCCCTGAGAGTAGAGGCATTTATGAAAAAGACTCTGTGGATCATACCCTAAATTATTAGATCACTGTCTGTACCACGAGGCAAAATGTTATTGTGCCCAGATATCAGAAGGCTAAATTAAGTTTTCATTTCCCCCAGATGCTATACTGAACAGTGTAAAGTGAAAAAAGAAGAGGCCCTTTAAAAAAGATAGGAAACATTTATTATCTTTTTCTTTTTGAAAAGCTTCCAATAGAAAGTTTTTAATGGTTGCGTACTACTTTTTGTGATGCCATCTGAAAAAACCCCCGATTTTCTTATTTTAACTGCTGAATTCTATTTTTAAATCCTTTACTGAAAGGATTTAATATGTCATCAACAGTAAATTATATCAATAAACCTTCCTTGTGGGGAAACAAATTGGTCTTTATTAGCATCTGGCCAGTCAAATTGCCCATAAAGAATTCAAAACCAAGGGCTCTTGAAAATTAACAAAACAAAAGCACAGAAGTAGCAGAGCTTTAAATTATACAAAGCTACAGAAGCATGTATATACTCATGGGGCAGGTGGCTTTCATATAAGACAGATTATAGCACTTCTAGGGCTAATTTGCACATGGGATGGACATCACACACAAAAAAAATTAATGTGGCCCCAATGTCCCTGAGTATACATAGGAGTTGCTGGAAGCCGGCTGCTCCACTTACAGTTTTTATCACTTCTGAATTGCATTTTAATAGTACATTTTTCTTTTGTTCAGACATGAAAGAAAATTGGCTCTCTCCAGGGATTGGATGATGACTGAAAGACAAGGCTAGTAGCAAAGGAATTTGCCCACGAATGCATGGAATTTAGGGTAGTCTTAAAGCTCAGAACAAGGTGTATGTAAAAATAACTTTCTATAATAAGGAATACATTGTTAAGTGCTGTAAAACATCAAAGACAATATGCCTGGTTTATAATAGAAATATATGCAGATTCTTTTGTTTATAGGATTCTTTCATTTGGCATTTATTAGTAGAAATTCTTAATTTTATAACCCAGGAAAGCCTTGCATCTTGATAATAAAAGACACTGAGAATAGCCCCGATTCAAAACACAAATGTTTACAGAAAGTGAAGGATTTCATGATCTAATTATATATTGTGACTTGCATTAAAATATGTAATGAAATGGCTTCCATCTTGGCAGTTGTACTAGGGTTTTAATATTGGATTGCCAGAGCAAAATAGCACAGGAACTGTATTTAAACCTTGAGATAAAGTCATTAACCCAAGCTAGGCTTTAGATGATCATAAAGAATTCAGACCTTCCTGTAGAAGATTTGTGACTAACCTGAAGTTCTCAAGGTAGGACACAGTGAGCTCCTGTCATTTTAGAAACAAAACTGCTTGAAAATTGCAACACAAAAGAAATCAAATATAAACAAATCTGGTGATGGTGTACAGCGTCATTTGCGGCCTAGCAGTGTGTTTTGTGGTCATAATAAGATGGACCTCAAGGAAACAAGCTTAGATGGAAGGTTATAGGGTTTACTTAGTGGCCCTCAAAGAGAGCAGTTCAGTTTTGTGTGAGAGAGCAAGTGAGACTCCAGCATTATACCTCCTGCTCTACCAGTACTTTCTTTCCAGTGCAAGACTGGAAGACTGAACTTGGTGGATGTACAAGCCAAGGCCTGAGTACCACCAGCTGATCCAAAAAGTCAATCCTTGTCCATCACGCCCTATAAAGCTGGAGTCACAAAGCTTGCTGGTTAGTTTGACAACTTGTCTCATTGTGTGAGGATTCTGCCTAACGGTCAGTCCCCTAGTTTGGCCCATGCATCTACTCCTGTCCCTTCTGGGGCTTGATTGATTGCTTGGAACTTGAACCACCACTTGCTTTGGACCACCTCCCTGCTTCTGACCCACTTGGATTGAGAGCCAGCTTCTCCTGGGTCCCAGAACCCAACTGTTTGGAACAACCCTTCTCAACCTTGGGTCTCCAACATGTTGTTGGACTATAATTCCCATCATGGCCAGTGGTTAGGGATGATGGGAGTTGTAGTCTAATGACAGCTGGAGACCCAAGTTAAGAAAGGCTGGTTTAGAAGCTAAGGCCTAGCATTCTGATAAATAATTTCTTTGTCTGGATTAATGACACTCATTTACTGATGGAACCACTGTCCTCACCTGAAGGATGTTCCTTAGGGGGCATGAGGACAACGCCAAGGCCCACCCACTACTGGCCAATATATACATATATACAATGAATGAGCACATTAACAGTCCAGAGTGAAGAATGCACTGTGCAATGTTATGTGTTTTCTCTGCTATTTGGCTTGTATGCCTGTTAGGTTTATTACATGCAGTCATTTGAGTATCAGGTATTCTTTGACACTTGGCCGGAAAGCAAACTGTCACCCCAAGGAGTAGAAGAATCAAATATTCTTGCTGAGCACCCTGGTAGGCTGCTATGTATGGCCCATGGACCTGTATTCATTCTATGGGTTGAATGTTTTGCGACCAATGTTAGAAGGAACTGTGTTTAGCCCTGCAAATCTTTTAAGGAGAGCACAAGATCAGAGCACATTAATGAAATGGTACTGCATTAGCTGCAGCAGCACATGCACTAAACTATAAAAAGTGTCTGATTTATGAAAGCATGTATTAAACGTTATTTAATTCCCATCCCTTCCAAGACAACAGGTCTAAGGCAATAGTTGTTTTCAGTCAACTCCCCTGTGCTAGATATAATTTTATGTGTAACAACTGAAGGCTAAAAAAAGAAAAGAGAAAACGAGTTAGGTTGTGCTTAAAGTGCCTCTCAAGAAGTCATATCTTTAAGAATTATTATTTAAAAACTTTACATAGTCTTACATTGGCTATATTTCAGTTACAAGGGTTGTTTTTGCGCTGCCTGCATTATGTTTTCTGATATAACACTAATAATCATTGGGCTGTTTTGGTTTTAATCCCAGCCTGCAGTAGAAGTAAAAGCAGCAGACAAATGCTAGCCCACTTCTCGTATAAAGCAAAAGTAATGAGACCTCTTCTTTGCGGACACATTCTAGAACTTCTTAATTATATACAGACTTATTATCTATATCCCCAGTGTTATAAAGTACCAGAACTTCATTAGAAAAATTAAGCTGGAAAAATGAAGGCACCACTTTGTAAATTTCCACTGGAAATTAGCTAGAAGAGGCAGAGGAATACTGGATCAAAAGAGGGTAATCATGCTTAACTGTGCCCTAGAGCACCCGCATGTATAATACGATTTGCACAGTAACTACCTCTCCTATTACTGCTTGTTTGGAGTATTCTGTGTTAATGGGGTTAGCTAATTTAGTATTTTAACTTAAAAAGGCTCTGCTGATTAATAAATGTTGCACACTGTGCTAGTAATTAAAATAAATGGAAGAGTTACAAATAGAAGTTGAATTGTTAAGAAAACATTATCTGAAAATATATGATAATCCCTGTTTATCATAATACAATAATAGTCCAGAAAATATGCAAATTGCTAAAGTTGCAAAGCATCTGACAAACTAGACATAACTTGAAAAAAGTTTTAGATGTGTTAGATTTGCAAGGAATAACATTCAGTGCCTGTTTTCATAACTGCCCATGCTCTTCAAACTTGTAAATGCACATTCTAAACCTCAAACAGCCTGACAGTGAGGGCAACACATAACCAGAAGCCAGTTTCCATAAATGCATCTTTTGCTGTATTGGGGACAGTGCAGATAAAGGGGTTCAGTGCATATGATTCCCAGAACTGGATGTATATAGTTCCCTACACTGGGTTAGAAGCCACTGGCACAGTGATTTGATTTCCTGTTCTGGAGGGCTGGTGGATGAAATCCAGGTCAAGTGAGCCCCATGGGTAGATTTAGGTTTCCTACACCTTGAGATCAACCGTATTAACAAAAGTGACAGTGTCAATAATATTTTGAGTTGCTGAGCACACACATGAATTTGTATGTGGGTAGGCCACCTATCAAACCATTTCGGCACTGTAAAACCTTAGAATTCTTCCTTTACCATATAGTCATAAAAGAGAGAATGATGCAAAGTTAAATTCCCACACTTCCAAGCCTGGTACTTTGCCTGCACAGCTCCTGTTTAAGTTACTACCACATATTTATTTCAGTTTAGTAAATGAAAATTGCGTCTATGCTTGCAAAACTGTTGTTGGAAGTCTTGGCCAGCCATACTGACGTGAGTATATAAAGGGTCTATTAAACTCCCTCAGCTCAGTCTTATCGGATAATCTTTATATTCAGAGTTTAGTCTGTTAAAGGAAAACATTCCAGTTTTCAAGTACTTTTCAAATAGGCAAGTTGCCTTGGCCTATAAGCATACCAGGCCTACAAGCATGTTCCAGGTGGTGTGGAATTACCTTAATTATTTCTCAGATGCAGCCACAGCAAGGAAGCTATTATTGAACCATGCTGGGATGGGGTTGGGTGAGGTACAGCCTGCAGTGAAAGCTTGCACGTATTTGGTGAAGAAGTACGAAGCAGTGGAGTTCTCTTCTGGCCAGGAGTGTCTGATTTGCTTGACTAAGATCAGGGCTGTTCAGTGGCTTGTCATCTGAAGCGGCTAACCTAACTACTTAAGTGGGATTATTACAGAATAATAGCCCAATCCACAAATCAATCAAGATGAAATGGACTTGGTTTTAAACCGATTTAGCCCCATTGACCTCAACTCAGCTAAACAAGCTTAAATCCAAGTATTTCAGCTTTCCTGGGTGAATAGATCAGGGCCTAAGACATTTGAAAATCTTGGTCCACGAAATATGATGCTTAGATAGACTTATGCTTAATGGTTGCTTTTCAACTTTTCAGAATCAACAGCTTTTTTGAGTCTATCAAGCAACAGTAAAAGATATAAAAAGAAGAGGCACAGTGATGCGAAAACAGGAGGGGAAAGCAAGCAACTTACACTTCATCATGTACACGGTTTCTCCACTCTTCTTGTTTAATTTTTTCTCTGGCAAGCTCCAGTGAAACGTTTGAAGCTGCCACCTGCACAGACGGTTCCAAAGGCTTATAGCGTTGCTGCAACACTTCAACAGGATCACGAAATGGGCCCTGAAAGGTACAGGAGAAGAAATGCGTTCTGTATTGGGGCTGTTCCTCTTTGCTTTGATTTTTATTAGCAGCCTAGCACTGATGTGTCTGCATCTAAGAGTAGGCTTGTTTCTCTCTCGAATCTTGGTGAAAAGCTAAATTTAATAGTTTTGGGTCCTTACCTAATCTTGTGATAATTTTCTATAGATTAATAAGTAAGCTTTTATCAGACTGTAATTATATTAATATAATTACACATTTGCTGAGTTATCACAAACAGTGGAAGAAGTGATGAATCATATCTGAACTATACCATTCTAGACTTAGCAGGGGCTTGTATGGTTGAATATGCTTCCAAATTATAACAAACACACACACAAAAATGTGAGGGAGAAGAGCCTTTTCTATGTTAGTTTTCTATGTGGATAAATAAATTGGGTGCTGGGTGGACAGAATTTGCTGTATGATCTGCCATCAACAGTCTGAAGTGCTCCAGACACAGAAATGTTGACAAGCTAACACTATGTTTGTGGGAACCCAGACCATTGATATTTGGTAAAGGAAAAATCTATCCAGTGTTTTTAAAAAGGGTTACCCCACCTCTTGCCTTTAGGTAGTAAGTATGAACGTACCGTAAATATCATTAGCACTGTAACTCAATACAATTTACAGGCAGCTGACTATTGCTGAGTTGCCAATTACAGCTTGTTTTCCTTTTTACCACTGTTGTCCTAACACTGAAGTAGTGAAACAATCTCACCCAAGATAAGGAGGTGGGGGCAACAATCCTAATCATGCCTCTTATTCTGAAGGATCTCTTTCTTTAAATAGGTTATCACTAACAAGCCACAGCTGGAGTTACTGCAAGAACTGAGTGAAGACTGCAGGGCTAATAAAAAGAAATGATTCACGCCTCATTTATGTTCACTTATGTTTTACATTAATAGAAACCAATAATAGGAACCAGTTACCATAAAAGTCACGGACCGTAAATAACACAAATGGCAAATAAGTATCATCTAGTACTTTTCACAGCTGGACAGAAGGATTGCTATATTTGAAAGTTGTTAATGGATTTTTATTGGAACTTTACTTTTTAAAGGCACAGCACCCCAATTGCCAGGTCTCCTGAAAAGAAGGAAGCAAGTGATCATAGCAGTTATTCATTGTGCCAGGACCCCCCTCCTTCATTTCCAAAAGGGTTACGCCAAGAATAAATTTATTTTATTGGGACCACTACAGAGCTTTTAAAGGTGTGAAAAAGAAATTAAAAAGTTTATTAGGTTTCACAGGAGTAATGAGTGCAATCAAGTAATTGACTCAAAATAATGCACATTATTTGCTTATGTTATCTAGAAATTTGCAGTTAAAAACATGAAATGGGGGAAAGAATTAACCATGATCTTATTTAGGTGATGATAGTCCTTTAAGCACAGAATGGGGATTCAGTGTAAACAGTAAAATAGAAGACTTACATTGTTTTCCATTTCAAAGTTCTCACTTAATTCCTACCATCTTGCACCCCTGCTATGTTTTGCTGTTATGGGCACAATCCAACATACATAAGACCATGCCTTACTGCAGAGGCATTTAAGTGCATGCGGAATTGCATTCTGTCATCAAAATACAGCAATCTCCTTATGAGTCAGGGATCTGGTGTGCACGAACCTATAAGTTCTTTCCCCTTAATATTATGAAAAAGGGAAGCTCTATACACAGAAAAAGAATGCAGAGTGGTCTCCACTGGAATGAATGGGGAAGTCCATGCTTACAGTAGCTTTTGATGTGTAAATGTTGCATACAATTTACATGGCGTAAATGTTGCATACAGTGGCATTCCACTTTAAAGCAATTTGCCTCTACACATGCATTGGATGGAAAGGATGGGACTTTGGGATCATAGTTGATAGCATGATGATGTCAACCCTACAGCTGTGAAATCTCACTTTGGGGGTCATTAAAAAAACCAACAGCTAATATCATAATGCCATTACCCCAAGCTATGATATAACCATATGTGGAGTGCTGTGTACAGTTTGTGGTTGCCTCACCTCAAAAAAGGTAAAGTTTCAGAAAAGAGTAACCAAAATTATCAAGTTCTAAATGATTTTTCATGGTGTGGAGAAAGTAGGTAGAGAAAGGTTTTTCTCCACCTCTCATAAAACTACCAATTGGGAACCATTGACCTAGAGCAGCGGTTCTCAACCTGTGGGTCCCCAGATGTTGTTGGACTACAACTCCCATCATCCCTGAGCTCTGGCCTTGCTAGCTAGGGGTGATGGGAGTTGTGGTTCAACAACATCTGGGGACCCACAGGTTGAGAAAGGCTGACCTAGAGGATAAGACAATCAATGGCTACTCGCTATTGGTCACTGTATGAACAGGATTTTGGAATATAGTTTGATCCAGAAAAGCTCTGATTATGGTTTGGAGGCCAATTTTGGTAACTCAGCCTGAGGTCTAACAACAGTATCTGATTCATACAACTTCTTGCACACCAGATGAGTGTACTATCCTGAATGTTTCACTGCATTTATGGATGATAACTCAAATGATCCAAGAACCTTAGCATCTGATCCTATCCTGTTTGCCTTGCATAGCAGGCCATAAGGGGGAGAGAGAAAATAAAGCAATGTAGATGTTCTTAATTACCTTTAATAAAGTGACAACTAATTTCACAATCTTTGTTTCCAGTGTTTTGTAATTCTAGTTAATTCTGTGATAAAAGTCAGAGATCTGACAGAATATATATCAACAGTATGAATATATGTGTGTGTGTTACATACACACACACACACAATATTTTCCCATATACTGCCTGAGAAAGCCAATAGATAGTTAAATGTTTAGTCTGAAAATTTGACATGAATACAAACTCTTGTTTTAACACTCTCCTTGAGCACATTTTGGTATCTTAACACTCACATGGGGCCTAATGTGTAAGGTACACAAGTTTAATGTCAAATGCTGCTGTCACTGAGTACTAAGTCACAAGGATAGCTAGCAATTATAAATCCCTCATTGTCACACCACCAGACCACTTTAAGAACAGTGCATTCTGTTGGATTTTCATTCCAGCTGTTTCATCAGCTCAGACCAATGTCCTTTCCCAAACATACACCTCTAAATTGTGTTGTCCAGGGATTTAGCCGTGTGACTCCCATTAACATCAATGAGAGTCGCACAGTTAAATCCATGCACTGTACTTTGAAAATTTACTCCACAGTGTACATCCCAGGGCACTGAAAGGATTAAAGTATTATACAGTAAATTCCCTCTTCAATGTGCAGGGGAATAAGTAGAAGTCTTCTCTTTGTTCTGAAAGGCTTTCTTGTGTAAGTTTCTTTGTCTGTGTCTAAACTGGGGGGGAAATGCTCCAAAGTAGCCTAAACAAGAGAAACCTAGCAAATCAACACGTAGTATAACTGTATTTTGGCAAATTGGAGGCTAGTGGAGATACTCCCATCTACTCTAGGGAAGAGCCTAATTGATTTTAAATGGCCATTAACTGTTATAACCAATTTCAGTGAGTTCAAGTTTGCAGCAGAAAGTAGTTCCAGAAACAATAGGATTTCCACTTTGATTTTAAAATATTAAAGAGATCTTTACACAATATAGGGAGAGATGTACTCCTTAGAAATGTATGTTGCCTGTTCATTCTTCTACCCATGGTAAATTGATCTTTTAGTCAGGGAAATTAACATTGCAACTCAGTTGGATCAGCAGCAAATGACATTCTAAGTGAACATTGTGTGAGCGGGAGGAAATAAAGAAAGATGAAATTGTCATCACTTCTGTTATTTTGATTCTGAGATTGAAAATGGTACTGGGCAAAAACAATTTGAAACACTGATGGGACTCCTTCTAGGTACTGGAGATAACTCAACGTTTTGTGAAACCTTCACAGGGCACGCAGAGCTCAGGGCATGAAGGGACTGTCATATTCTCTTCTGTGCTATGGAATGCCCCACCGAAGAATGTACAGTGGTACCTTGGTTCCCGAATAGCTTGGCTCCTGAACAAATCGGCTCCCGAATGCCACAAACCCGGAAGTGAGTGTTCCAGTTTGCAAATGTTTTTCAAAAGCCAAACATCTGACGCGGCTTCCGATTGAGTGCAGGAAGCTCCTGCAGCCAATCGGAAGCCATGCCTTGGTTTTCAAACAGTTTAAGGAGTCGAACAGATTCCTGGAACGCATTAGGTTTGAGAACCAAGATTCCACTGTACTCATAGCCATCTCTGTGAGGAGGGACAGGGATAGTCCATTCCCTTCAATGCTTGGGAAAGTTCTGTGATTTAAGTATGTGGAACTTTCTCCCACAATGAAATGAATGTAAAGTTCCATTCCCATTAAGGTTGATTAAACCAGATCTCCTGAATAAAACAACAATTGCAGCCTGAGAGCTATTATATACAGTGGTACCTCAGGTTAAGAACTTAATTCGTTCTGGAGGTCCGTTCTTAACCTGAAACTGTTGTTAACCTGAGGTAGCACTTTAGATAATGGGACCTCCCACTGCCATGCCGCTGCTGCGCAATTTCTGTTCTCAGGTTAGCGGAGTCTGTAACCTGAAGCGTCTGTAACTTGAAGTGTCTGTAACCCGAGGAACTACTGTACAGGGTATTGCTAACATCTTTCATTTTATGTGGCCATTTAAAACACATGGTCTCTCATAAAGATGGAAACAAAAACCTTTCAGTCATTTCATGAATGTTTGTCCTAGAATAACGGTCAAGAACAATGAAATCAACGAGATTAAACATACTTAACACTCTGGAGCTGTGGGTGATATTGGGAGTTATTGATACACAATACCTGAGGTTTTTGTCTCCCAATAGGAGGAAGAGCTGGCTCTCGTTGGAAGCCAAACAAATCAGAATAAGCATTCCAGTGGAGATTGACAGCATCCTTCTTGACCTTTTTCTTCTTGGGCCTCAAAGGTTTTGCTTTCCTTAATTCCAATTCCATTGGATCCGGTGATTTCCTGTAGGGCGAGTTGTATATTCCTGCAATCTAAAGACACACCACCATTTATGTGCATTGCTTCAAAATTTCTCTAGTGTAGATAGAAAATCAAACAATGTTTCATTTATTTATATTATTTATTATAAATTAGTTATTACATGCTTACAGAAGACAAACTCACCAAGAAAGCTAAAGATGATGGAAGTATAATACATATTATACATACTACTTTTAATATTTCTTTTATTGTTCATATATTGTACACTGCACTCATATTTTACATGATGGTGGTATAGAATTATTGTTATAAATAAATAAATCACTTGGGGATTTTGTGTATGTGTATGTGTATGTAAAGAGTTTTGTTTGATGTTCAAATTTCTTCCTGCAGAGAACCTTTTCCATGTTATTTGCCATAGAACCCCTGGAAAGTTCCTTGAAATGTGTTGTAGATTCAAACCAGACATCCTTGGGTGATATCCAATGTTAGAATAGACCCACTGAAATCGATGGACATAATTGACTCAGGTTTCATTGAGTAAGAGTACTAGCCTGAATTTGACTTAGTTGGATATCACTCATTGGTACACCAACTGTTGTATGCTCTGAATTATTGACACGGAACCACAAATATATCCTGAATGCTGGATGCCATCCCAGGAACTGCATGCACAGCACTGCTTCTGTACATTCAGTTTTCAATACAGCGGGGGATGCTGCTTCCATGTGGTTCTTCATATGGCACTACAAGCACACCCAAAAACCTGCATCTACACATGCCACCTCAATGGGTTGGGAGAGCTGTGGGATGTGTAAGTCATCTAATCAGCGCAAAGAAAAATTTAAAAAAGGATTATTGATATGTTGTTCCAAAAGAGCCATTTTAGAACAAGCGTATCGGCCTGTTGAAACAAGATTTATGCAGGTAGCATAATTATCTTTTTAACTGTTAAGCACTGTTGAATAAGAGAAATGAAGAAAGTGTTAGAACTGAGCTGAAGCAGATGTAGAGACAATGTTTATATTGTTGCATCTGCTGCTGATTTCTGGCTCCTAGGGAAACTTAAGAGTCCAGCTTCTCATAATGTATTAACCTCTTGGGAGTGAGAGGATTGAGTGCTCCTCAATTAGCTGTAATGCATTTTTCATTAGTGTGTCCCACAGGAAAATTCAAACTCTTAGTGTCAAAAAGTTAAGCAAGCTTTTATTTATCTATATCTATATATTGCTGTTCAAATGTATAGAAGACTCCTATATGCAGAGAGATAATTGGATGGGAAGATTGGCTGTTTATTGAATGGTAAGGACATAAACTCATTAGCTTTTAATTACGTGGAAAATGCTCCAACTTTTGGATCATTTTGTCTTTTCCTGCTTCTTTTTGAGTCCTGTGATATGCTTTTTTGTGATTGGCTGACCAGAACTCTATGCTACATTCTAAAAATAGTTGTAGATTTGTATATAGTCACTATAATTCTGGCCGTTTTATTTTCAATCCATTTCCTAATAACCTAGATATAGCAAGGAATTTGCCTTCTTTACCACTGCCACAAACTGCACTGATGCTTTCACTGAACTGTCTATAATGACATAAAGTACCTTCTCCCTGGGTTAGTCATTACCAGTTGACACACCATCAATGTATATACTAAATCAGGAGTATTTTGTCTCAATGTGCATCGGTTTGCTTACACTCAACCTAATTTCCCATTTTATTGTCCATTCATGAAATTTAGAGAAGTCCTTTTGGAGCCCTTCTATATCTTCTTGGGTTTCCACCATCATTTGGCAGTCTTGGGTACCTCATTGTTCACCCTTGACTCCAGATAATGAACTAATTATTTAAACAGTGCCAGTCCCACTACAGATTCTTCTGTTTACTTTGCACCACTGTGTAAAACTGTCTATTTAATCCTAGTCTGTCTATTTAATCTATTTTCTGTTCTTTAACTAACTGCCAATCCATCAAAGTGCCAATCCTCATATATAATGACTGTTAACGTTGCTCAGCAGACTCTGGTTAGTGGCATTGTCAAAAGGTATTTAGAAGACTGAGTAAAAGTGTCAATCGGACCATTTCTAACACTAAATGCTAAGTGAAATTCTCAAAGAACTCCAGAAGGTTTATGAGGCAGGGATTTCCTTTGCAAAAGCCATGCTCATTCATCATCAGCAAGGCTTGTTCTTCTATATTTAAGAAACCTAGCTTTATATTTCTATTTCTGTACATTCATTTCCAAGTTCTATCCTGTCACCACCTGAATATCATGAAACACTTAGGTCATCATCTCTAAGAAATCCCTGGGAAAAATCACCCCAAACAAGATACTTCCCTACTCATATCCTCTACCTGTGGAAAACTGATTAAATAATTGTTTAGTGGTCATCTTATTATGCTGTTCATATTATGCCCAGAATAGTTGGGGTTTGGGTTAAAAATAAGTATACTTTATAAAAAGCAACAAGAATACAGGATGACAATAGGCAAACTGGTTTCTTCTAAGTGATCCTTGGCTTTAGCCTGTATTTACTTTCACGTCCCACACAGCTACAAGGGTATATACAGTAGTAGTGGTATGGTGTCTTGCCAACACTGGTGTTATTGTTTTGAGACATGACCAGCCAAAATATGGCAGCTTTTGCTCACGTTTAATTCAATGGGAGGGTTATTCTGCTGAAACCAGTAAGACATAAAAGTACTCAACAGTAGCTGGATGTTACCCTTGTTTGTACTGCATTAGCAGAGCAATCACCATGCTCCATCCTCAGCTCCTATTTTGCAGAACAGTAAACTGAATAGTTTTATCTGAACATATATAAACATGTATAAATGAACAGACCTTTAAGTTCCTCTGCAAATATCCCCCCTTTGGTTTAACCTATGGTGACATAACCAGTTTCCTTGCCATCCACCCATCTCTGCTCCCCAACCCCATCCATCCATACAGTAAAAAGAGTTGGGCATAAACCGACTGGCGTTTATGCTTTCAAAAACCCCAGGGTCATCCCCAGCATCCTGTTCGTTCATTTTCATCACCCAGTATAGCCAGTTAGAAAGTCATCAGTGTTACTTTAGCAGGGTATCCAATGCTAAAGTGTGTTTTCCAGCTTTATTTCTAAAGAGTACTATAGGTTATTCCCAACCCCAACCCCCTTTCAAATCACATCTAGTCTGTGGAGAGCATGACACTTTTTTCTGTATTCATGTTCTTCGCAAGCGTCTCTCGCAAGGGCCTCTGTCAAAGCTGGCTTTCTGGGACTTCATTTTCAGGAACAATTTTCTGAAGTGACAAACACTATAGGGAAATCTGTGCTAACTGTTAAAAAACCTACAACTGAGTTATTTGCAGTACTGTCATGCTAACTTCCAACTCAATAAGACCAAAGAAACCTCTGGGGGAGACTCTGCTAATAGCTTCTTACTGACCTCCTTGCAATACGCCCTTCTGCTGAATAGTGGCCCAGTGGTGAATATGGCAAATGAGGTGTGAAAGCTCTCTCTCTCTCTCTCTGTGTGTGTGTGTGTGTGTGTGTGTGTGTGTGTGTTTTAAGGCTATGATTCTGACTCGCTGTAAAAAGGGAAACTGAGCTCCACAAACTCTCTCTGCTCTCTTGCCCTGGAATTCTTTTCTTCATCAGGCCTTACACCAGGGAAACCCATGCATGACCCAGAAGTATTATTAATTTTGCCAGATCCCAAGCATGGGAGTGCATGTGCCATTTGTTACCCAGCCACCCTTAGCATTACATTAATATTTTGAATCATTTTCATTTCTAACAATGTATCATTTTGCTTTCTTCATATAATTTTTAATCTTAGTAATTGAGAATGGCATGCAGAGGGCAAAGAGAAAGGTTTTGCTAGGAAGGATCAAGTTCGTGAATTATATAAATATCACATTTTTTAAAAAGCCTGGTATTTTTTTCTACACTGAGCAGTCACCCACACTCTTCTAATTTTCTTTTGATAATAATCCAGTGTCATCACTTAAGGTGCATTGCTACTGTTGCATTTATTTTTTTTACAGATTCTTGCTGTCAGGTACACCATCTACAAATGGTATCAGGCACCCACCTAAAACAGCTTTCCAAACTACAAGTAATCCCTTTCCAATGCTTTTGAAATCAATCCCCAAGTTAAAATGCTCCCTGTAGATTAACTCCTGCCAATAGCTCCGCAGCTGCATTCTGGACCCACCTAATTTTCTCAACTATGTTCAAGAGTAGTTGCACATAAAATGCACTGATAAAATGTAGTTGAGAACTTACCAAGGCATGTATAATGGTGGTTAGACCTCACAAATCCAGGAAGGGTGCAGTTGGTATATATAGTGAATTTGGAAAAAAGCATTCCAAGACAGAGTTCAACCTGGGATTCAAGAACAGTGTTGGGCACACAGGTAGCCCCAAAAGGCAAACAATATTACTCTGTCCAAAATGGGTAAGTTGTCAACGACATTGCATGACAGCCTGATCCCTAGATCCTTTCCCTTGCAAAGCTCTAGCTCGTTCCTTGAAACTTTTTGTGTGCATGTAATCTATTCTACTTTCTTTGTGAGACACACACAGAGACGGAGAAACAGAGAGTGCATTTCTTGAAAAAAGAAACCATAAATGTAGAAGCATGAAGGAGAGGTGTGAAAGAAATATTTGCTGGAAACGGAATTGCTGAATCAACACTGACCAGTGCACTTCATCATAATTATCAGGACATACTACTGCCAGGGGATTTATAAAAATCCCACTCAGCAAATAATTGCCCTGCTGTTAGGAGATAGTCAAGAGTGTTAACACACTGTCACAGTCCAGCATTTAGTAAGATATTCAACATTCAATTACTCTTGTGGGGGACTGAAAAGAAACATGATATTTTTCCAGGTACTGCAGTTAATGCTTCCATAAGAATTCCAGTGAACATTCCTGCTAATGTCCAGATGGAGGGGAGAGCTCTGGTGGCCTCTCTCTCTGTCAAGAGGTGAAAGAACGATTTGGAAATTTAAATACATATACACATACTTTGAAAATATTGCAAAAATAAAGAAGTGAATGATTCCATACAGTGTAATCTCTTTGTTAAAAATAATACAAATTTCTTTTAACTACAATCAGATGTATATATGCATTTTGGAACGGCATAACCAAGGATCTATTATAGATTAGCCTCAAAGAAAAAAGTTCATACTTCACTGTAGAATTTCTAAATATTATTCAAAGATTTAAAGAACCCACAAAAGACAGCCTTTTGTTAAGATTTTGTCTTATAGAACTTAAACAAATGACAACCATCTGAACAACTTCAGTGTGGCTGTGAGTTGCAAGGAAGGCTGACACCTGCATCAGATTTCTAAAGCACACACTCAATTCATGCACTTGGACCTAAGTCCCAAGTGAGTTGTCTTAGAATTGTGGTGTGTCAACATCTTAAATTCAGAAGGTTTGGCTTAACTGTGTTGGGATGTACATGGAAAACTGATTTATTATGTGCAAGAATCTTGCAGTGTGAAAAGCCCTCTTGAATTTAATAATAATTTTGCTTGAACTAGAAGCAGGAAACGCTAACCTATAATCTGCAGGTCTGTATACAGTATCAGTGATGTTTTACTTACCGGTATCCATTGATGAAATGCTGTAACTGAGGTCCAGCATTATTCCTAAAGTACCTCCATTTTGGCTAGGCCATTTATATATCTCCATTTGTTTAATAACTAATTTAGCAGTATTCATTTTAAATTATTAAATTAAGCCTCATTCACTGGAACTCCTTGCTCTGGAATTTTCCCTTACTTTATGGACTCACCACTTGTTCTTTCTACCGAAAGAGAATAACAGTGCTTTCAAGATACCCAGTTTTATGGGAGCTTGATGCTAACAGGACAATCGGGTAGTATTCAGTCAAAACAGATTGGACCAGGCCTTTGGACAGCTCTAAGAGTTGTCAAGACAACTGCAGAAGATGTTGTCTCTAAAGGGACATATAGCCAACTGAAGCCTCATGTAGGCTAACTAGAGTTGGTTTGTGGTAGGTGCCATCTCTCTGAAGGAGCTGGCTGGGTGGTCCTCCTCTTATTTTGCAGATAGTGGTCTTCCAGGGGGCTCAGCCATTTATATCTTAGGACCAAGTTATCTCAAGGAGTACCCCTCTCTGTATTGTTGGTCCTTTGATTTAAGAATCCTGCAAAGATTAGGCTTTCTCAATGATGGCACCCCAACTGTGGAAATATCCTTCCCACATAATGTGGCTGGTGCTGACATTTACAGTTTTTAGTGCCAGCTGGAAACCTATCTCTTTCACCAAGACTTTGGGGGCAGTGTGTGATGCATGCAGGCATCCAGAGACCTGGATTGTCTAAAATGGAATAGATGATGTGAGCTGCCTATTGTCATGCTAGTGTTAATAGGGAATTTTAAAATCTGACTTTATGGTGTATTTATGGTATATTTTTATTATTGTGATCCACCCTGGAATTGTTTGGTGATGAGGGGCAGGAAATAAATTTTACAAACAAAATAAATAAATCATCTGAAAAAGAGTTATGGCGGCAGGGCTGTGTCTTCTGGCCAAGTAAAGGTAAAGGGACCCCTGACCATTAGGTCCAGTCATGGACGACTTTGGAGTTGCGGCGCTCATCTCACTTTAGTGGCCAAGGGAGCCGGCGTACAGCTTCCGGGTCATGTGGCCAGCATGACTAAGCCACTTCTGGCGAACCAGAGCAGCGCACGGAAACACCGTTAACCTTCCCGCCAGAGCGGTCCCTATTTATCTACTTGCACTTTGACGTGCTTTCGAACTGCTAGGTTGGCAGGAACAGGGACCGAACAATGGAAGCTCACCCCATCGCGGGGATTCAAACCGCCAACCTTCTGATCGGCAAGCCCTAGGCTCTGTGGTTTAACCCACAGTGCTAGCTGCGTCCCGTCCCCCCCCCCAAAAAAGCAAGTGTTTCTTCCCTGGAGGACATTGCCCGAAAACTGCACTTCAACATACTCTGATTGTGACACAAAACCAAGATTTTGAGCGATCTTTAATATAAAGTATTATGTTTTAAATGGATCTTTTCCATGCAATAGGCTTCTTTTCTTTATCTTATATCTGACTAGGATGAAAGTATTTTTTCCTACATTCTGTTTGGCTATTATTAAAAACTAACTCACAGCACACAATATGGACAGCTAAAGCCAGATCAGGGACCACTACTCGCCATTTTCTCTCAAATCCTCCAGAGAATTTATTTATCTGAAGGAAATATGCTATAGCACAAGATTTACAGCTATCTTCAAAATTGGTAAGATTTTGCTTCATACCATAAAACTGTACCACCAAGTTGCATTTCAAGGACAATGTCATCATTATTTTTATTGAGTTGTTTAAAAAGCGGAAAACAGTGTGGGCACATCATCTTTGTCTGCAGATCCCGAAAAGCCACAGCAGCCAACACTGCTACAACGGACTACTTAGCTCTTTTTGAATCAATAATATAAGCCTGAGGCATTACATGCCGAGCCAAAATAGAAATAAACACATGCAAATTAATAATACTGCAAATATCATCGCTTTACAAACCAAAACACCAGAGACAGCAGGTCAAACTGCAATAGAAGCAATTTACCATGGCATACTAACTAAAAAAATTAATTTTATAATTCTACTACTGATTTTAATGCTACCATTTGTTGTCTTAGCCAAATTACTGATGAATGCAAGCTCTGTCATAGCAAGTCGCTTTTAAGAGGAGGAAGAGGATGTTAGTAGCCATTTTGGTGCAATAATATGAGGGGCAGAAAATAGGTATATTTATAGTTCTTGTCACTTGAAGATTCAAAATCTTCCAAAATACAGGAACAATATGTCTAATAATTTGGTTGGCTTTCACTGTTTCGGCACATTCTTCTTTTTCTTGCTGAAGTTGAGCGACAAAACTACATTTTAAAAATACATACACAAGGAGACACACATTGCTTATGTTCATATTTTAAGCCGCTCTGGGAAGGGTTACAATGTAGAATTCTTATTATAAAAATTAACCACTGTCAATTGTAGTGTGTCTTACAAATATTAAATGATGATAAAAGTTTCCTGCTCTGCTCTTATTGATTTGTCTTACAGATAGAAAAGATGTTCAGTCTAATAAACTAAAATGATGTTGTTCGGTCTTTGTAAAAGCTTTGTGCTGGCACTACAAACCTGAGAAAGAATAACGCGAGGAAAAGCAGGCACCATTTAAAGAAATAAAATAAGGATTCCATGGCTTCCTCTGAAAAACAAACTCAAAATTCCCCCTTTAAAATCTCTGTCTCAACAGAAATGTTATGAATACGAAAATTGGATAGATCTTAACACTATCTCAGTGTATTTCTAGCTGTAGGACGCAGTTGGATCTCTTCCACAAGGCAACCAGTAGGTGGAGCAGATAACATAATTTATGACTTGAAAACACTGGCATAGATTCTATGGCAAGTTTCTTCATAATTATAGGGATGATGAAGAAAGAATTTTCTTCAAACAAAGGAAGGCTTAGATGTGTTAGGTGTTACTTGACTAGTTATTGAAACCACCAATAAACGAAGAACGTTGATTAAAAGCTCAATATTTCATAAGGATAAAGTTTTAGAGCTTGTCATTTATTTCTCCAGGCATTGTCTTCTAGCAACCTCAGTTTTAATCAAAATACAATTCCAATTCTATTTTTAACTTCTTTGTATGCTAAGTTTATACCAGCATTAGACACCCTGAGAAGGTAATATATAAGGATGCAACAAATCTGTATATTTTAATGTGTGTGTAATTTGCATATTTGCATTAACCTGCTGCATATCGGATCACAGGGAATGTAAGATACACCGCAATTCTGCAATGACATTGGCACATTTTGGGGCTGGGACCTGAAGTGCTAGTTCTTAAATTGTTAAGTAATATTTCAATAAGTGCATTACACTTCAGAGACGAGTGTGATTTTCACATGTTGCTACATATTGCACCATTTGATTAGCATGTTTGTAGATTGTCTTGAAATTATGAGGATGAGAAATCTTAAATTTCCAAATTAACCATAAATACCCCTATGCACTGTCTTCATTGACATGAGGTTTGTCCACTCTTTGAAATATTTGGAGGTATTTATATATCTAAATTAAAGTTTTAAACAATGAAAAGTCCTCTCCCAGAGATTTTTTCTTTCAAGGAGCAGATGAATAATTCATTTTTAATAATATTGATTTACTAATTAGTCCTTTCTTCTGTTTCTTCACAAACAAACCTTGATTTCACTAAATTTACAATTAAAATAACTAATTTCCACTAATCAGTTCACTTTCCCATAATTAATTGCTATGCAGCTTAGGTAAACAAACTCCAACATTGCTTATTCATGATTGATGTGACACAAAAGAAGGGAGCTAAATTTTCAATGGCAAAATCTTATGCTGTTGTCTTCGATCTCTGATTGGAAGAATGACACTTGTTAAGCAAAAAGTGAGCATGACTAAATAAAAAGTCTAATCATCAATAACAGATACCCATTTAAGACTGAAACAATTGTGCTTGCATTTCCAGTATGGATGTTCATATAAATAAGCACTTATCGCAGGCAGGAAAAGACTTATTTGCACTGATGAACTTAAGCAGGGATTAAAAAGGGGAACATCTGTCATACCAAATAGCTCTTCAGAATTCCAGCAAATCTTCTAAGAAGAGTAAATAGATCTGTTGGAATATATTCAAGAGTACTGTCTACAAGAAGGTAATCAAGGTAAATTTGCTGACCCAAGAAGATCACTCTGGAAAGTTGTGTGTTTTTTTACAGATAATCCATTCTTAACCACCTATTTTGAAACATAGTGGAGCAATGTAATTCTGGTCAAAGCATTAGCTCAATTAAAACAGAAAAAAATATGAAACCCCTCCTCAGCTTAATAACTGGTTAGTCCTTGACAAGTGAAACCACCACAACAATAAGCCAGTCAAAATGAGTTTTTAAAGTGAGGTTATGCCCTTTGTGTTGTGTTATCACAATGGCAGATCAAACTGCTGACTTGGACTCTTTCTGCCAGCCGCGCTGATGCCGCCTCTATGAAGCTGCTGTCGTGTCACGCAGCAGTCATGGTACCTGCTCTCGCCTATAGAAATGCACTAAATTGAACTCGAAGTAGTGTCTTTGTGATATCTTTTCAACAAGTCATGTCCCATTCAGCCTGCTAGTTTATCTCTGTCAAGCTAGGGGCCTCAGTGGTTTGCATGAGCTGTCAGGGACAGGTACACCAACCTGCACAGTGCTAAGGAGGTAATGCATCTTTTGGGCGAGGTAATCCTTTTTCCTTTTTTCTCTTTCGAGGGCTTTTTTCCGTTCCTCTTTCTCCTTCATCTCCGCAAACTCTTCCAGTTCTTTCCTGCATGAAAACATTTAAATGATTACTGGGCCAATGTAAAAAGGCATCAGTGCTTTAAAAAGCCTTTCCCAGCCCATCTTCCCTAGTGATGATATGCTGGCATCGTCGACTGTTTACTGAAATCGACAACATCAGGATTGGCTACATTCAGCAATGCCTGGCTAGTACTGTTAGAACAAAGGAATTCAAGAGACATTCAATGCACTAAGATTCTTAACCATTTTGGGAGATCCAGCTTCATGTAAACAAGAGTTTAAATAATAATAATAATAATAATAATAATAATAATAATAATAAATTTTTATTTATATCCCGCCCTCCCCAGCCGAAGCCAGGCTCAGAGCGGCTAACATCAAATGTATAACACATTAACATAAAATCAGACAATCAATTAAAATACATCCTCAAATCAGATCAGGATCAGAATAAAATCCAATCAGAATCATAGGTAAACTATTATGTATCCTTGTATCTATGTTTTTAGAACAAAATCAGCTTACAAATTGTTTAGAAATGACTGGTTTTAGTTTTAATAACAATAAAATAATTATTTGTACCCCATCCATCTGACTGGGTTGCCCCAGCCGCTCTAGGAGGCTTCCAACAGAATATAAAAAAAACCCAAGATACATCAGACATCAAAAGCTTCCCAATACAGAGCTGTGAAACTTAAGCTTCCCTAAACACAGCAAGATATTTTAATGTTGGGGCAGGAGTTGAAGATAAAGGAATAAACTTCTCCATATAGTACCGGAGCATGAAGGAAACGTGTAGCTGGTTATGTGAGTTAGATGCCACATGAAAATTTGTAGCCTCCCTAGAATAGATACTTATGGATGACTGTGTAGTGCCATGCTTAGTTAGACCAATGGTCTTTCTAAGTTCAACATTCTGCTTACTAACAGAGCTCAGTAAGTATGGGGAGGTTGTAAATAAGGAACTACCCTCTGTCTGTTTTTGCTGTTGAATAAGCATTTGTCTCCCTTTCTGAGTCACAAGGTTACAGGTATAAAGAGATTGACAGAGAGGGTCCTATGGAAATTGCGCATTATTGCATATTTAGTTAAAGCTATGGTTTTCCCAGTAGTGATGTATGGAAGTGAGAGCTGGACCATAAAGAAGGCTGATCGCCGAAGAATTGATGCTTTTGAATTATGGTGTTGGAGGAGACTCTTGAGAGTCCCATGGACTGCAAGAAGATCAAACACATCCATTCTTAAGGAAATCAGCCTTGAGTGCTCACTGGAAGGACAGATCCTGAAGCTGAGGCTCCAATACTTTGGCCACCTCATGAGAAGAGAAGACTCCCTGGAAAAGACCCTGATGTTGGGAAAGATGAAGGGCACAAGGAGAAGGGGACGACAGAGGACGAGATGGTTGGATACTGTTCTTGAAGCTACCAGCATGAGTTTGACCAAACTGCAGGAGGTAGTGGAAGACAGGAGTGCCTGGCGTGATCTGGTCCATGGGGTCATGAAGAGTCGGACACGACTAAACGACTAAACAACGACAACAATTGGGAGAGGGGCCATGCACCAGTGGTAGATCTCAGGTAACAAAATAGGAAACTCCTCCCCAATGGACCTGGGACCAGGAGTGTATTAGCAAATTCAGAAATGCAGGGTCCCTGCATAATAGTCACAGCTATACCCCCTCACAACCAGACCTCCTCACAGCCATGTCCCTTTCCAAGTTTATACAACCTTGTAAGATTATACAGCAATAATAATTAGGGATGCATTGCAACAATTAGTGCAGTTCTCTATGTGTTGCCTTTCAGCTAGATCTACTATTTTCTGTGAACGCACATGGGTATATGATTTGGAGTGCTCCAATATATTATTTTGGAGTGACTTGAGTTGTGTTTTCCCTGAAGTTCCATTGTCCGTAGCAGAACTTCAGCATCAGTTTTGTGAAACTGTAGCAGCTTGTGGTTTTTATATGGAATACACAGAACAACTCATCGGTGTTGTTCTTGCGCATCTGACTCCAGAGTGTCCCTAGAAGTCAATCCTCAGTGGCTGACTTACCTCCTTCAACTCAGATTGGCTCAAATCACCAGAAAGGGTGGAAATACTTTTTGGCTAAAATCTCTCCTTTTATGCTGACTGGTTGGCTCCAGGATGCTGGAGGCAAGGACACTGGGGGGAGGGACCCTGCTTCAGAAATAGTAATGTGTATTTGACCTCCACACAACCCCAGACCACTATCCTTCTGCCTTGGACTTCTGCTTCTAGTCTGAGTAGATAGTGTTGGGTTACATGAACAAATGGTCTGATTCAGTATTAAGACACAGAAGATTAAGTAATTAGTTAAGAGAACTCTTGCAGGAATTTTCTACCCTGTGAATTTGTTTCTAAGATTTTTCTAATAAATTACTAATGCTATTGCCAATTATTGAACCCTTAAAACATTTCATAGATAAAACGTGATTGCATAATATATTTATAACAACACATTACAGTATCACCCTCACTAACATATACCCAGAGTAGAAGTTAGCTTGATTAACATTTGTTGTTATTGGTATTAAGAAACACTAATTCAAATTAACCTTGTGTGTGAAAGACATAAATTTTGTTCAGCGATGTATGTAGATTTAATAAATGTTAATTAGGTAAGTTCTGACCTTTTTCTGGGCATCTTATGTAAAATACAGCATTGAAAATAATTCAGTTCCTGTAGGGTAAATATTTATAATACTTCAACATATTCCATATCAATTAAATATCAGGGAGTGCAATCCATAGCACAGTAAAGTTAATAGCAAAACTCCCATTGATTTTAATGGCACTGGTTTGGATGCATGTAATTAACTATTACAATTAATTCAAAGCGTCCCATGTATATACAAAGGGCACATGCAGGGCACTTTTGCATGCACTCAAAGGGTACACCGATTGCCTACCTATAAATGGAAAGCCTCAATACATATGAAAAAATCCACAATACATATGTAAAGGACCATGCGTGTGTTCTCAAAGAGGAGCTGTTTGCACTTAGACACACCCAGGCAACATCCTGACCCAGGATGTTGGTCTTTGTCAGGCTGATGGAAAGGCCGAATCCCATACAGGTTCAGGCAAATTGGTTGATGAGACTCTAGCGCTTCCTTGGAGTGCACAATCAAGGCTGCATCACCTGCAAACAACATCTCTCAGATAAGGACCCACCACACTTTTGTCTTGGTGTGCAGACGTGTCAGGTTAAATAGTCCTCCACCACTCCTTGAATGGATGTAGACACTGTCTTCAATCGAGCTGAAGACATAGGAGAGCAACAAGGAGAAGAATATGCCAAAGAGGCTCCATGTTCTTAATGTCGGGCTCAGTCAGGGATCTGCTGCTCTCTTTTACCAAAGGAGGTCATAGCTGTGTTGTATGTAGTTCCACCTTGCTTTGACGCTATCTCTGGGGCAGTCCAGTAGATCTTCTTTGACAGAATCGGAGAAAGATCTTGCTCATCACCAGAGAGTGATCCGTGTCACAGTCGGCACTGTGGTAGCTCCATGTGACATGATCACAGTGCCCCAACCTTGGACATCTCCATGACACTTGCTGTTTTGCCTTGGTAGAGAAGAACCTATTCATGGTTCAGAGGCTGTGATATGAACACAGTTCTAGCAGCTGTTGTCCATTCTTGTTCATGCTGCCAATACTAAAGTGGCCTATGAAGTTGCCCCACGTGTGATGATCATCTCCAACTCTAGCATTGAAATCTCCCAGCAGGAATAGGTGTTCGCAAGCTGGGACCCTCCCGACAGCCTGGTCTAGTGGGAGTGTAGACATTCAAGATGTTAACTGGACTGGAGGTGGTTGAAAGGTGAGGGAAAGCAAGCGTTCTGAGCCCTTGGTCAGCGGTTCTATTGCAGACAGAAGAGGGTTCCATGCTGTGAAGCCTACACCTTGAATATGTGGTTCTTCTGGATGCCCTCCTTGCCAGAAAAAGGTGTCGTTCATCTCTTGGAGGCTGTCATTTGAAGCAAGTTTGGTCTCCTTTAAAGCAGCAAGGTCAATGCTGATCATTTTCAGCCCATGGTCAATGATGGCACACAAGACACCATTCAACCGCCTTAGAGACTCCACTCCGGATTTGTGTAGGGTACACTCATTAGCCTTTTCTTCTCCTGAAGATGTCCATGTGGTGTGGAACTTTTATCAGCAGAGTTTCCTTTTGACCCCTTATCCAAAATTGGAGTTTCATCTAATTTGCTATGGGCCCTCAAGCTTCCCAGCTAGGACGTGAACTGAAAACTAGGTTTCTTCAGGCTTCCTACCCCTAGAATTCACCTCCATAGTTAGAAGTTCTTACAAGTTCTCTCTTTTACATCATCAGTTACTTACTACAGTGGGAGTCTCCTGAAATAAAGGCTGAACGCAAGAAGCACTTTAAAGGTTTGCTTTGAAAAATAATCAGAGTTAAACCTGTGTGAAGTGTAGAGACTGTGGATTTCATTGCATTACAGAGCTATTCAGAAAACTATGATGATCATGCAACAATCAGTTGACTCTTTCCATCCTAAAACCAGAGCATTCTCACTCCATTACAATTATAGATATTTCCAGTTTCTCACTGTCTATAAATATGTAGATATGGAACGTTTTGATGTTGTTTGTAATGCTACTGCATTTTATTACAATGGATGTATTTTTTCCCTTTTTTATGATGTAACCCATGCTGAGATTGCTTGTTGATGAATGGCAAGATACAAAACAAATAAATAATATTTTCAGTATAATGGGACACTTTTTAAAACATGCAATCTGGCAATATTTTTACCATAGATATAGAAAACTCTGTTACAAAAATCTATGTGCTATGTCATTTTTTACTTTTCCATCAAAATATTAATCCATAGCATGTAGAGTAAAATATTAAGCAAATCACACATGTTTTTCTTTCAAATGTACAAGGCAAAAGTAGAACAAAACAGAAATAAATTAAAGATAGGAGAAGATGTATTATTCTGTTTCAATCCCTGGAATGTTTTCTTTTTTCTTTTTGTTGCCTTTTACTGTTAAAGGCTTCTAATACAATATTTCATACAAGGTTACTTATGAAACATACTGACGTTTAAAAATCACCATGCTATGCTTTTGCAGCAGTGTAATTTTTTTCCAACATAAGATTAAATTGCAAAATAAATGAATTACTTAGAGTGGCATGGCCCCCATTTTGCCACACTTCTCTTGAAAATTGCTTATTAATATGAAAAAAGAAGTTGGAAAATAGCCTGTTTTACTTTATGCATAGTGTTTGGAGGCCTCCAAGCCTGGAGACCTGGACTTGCTGTACATTTTAGATTGTATTGGCAAGCGGGTACACTGACCTTTCTGACCTGCATCTCAAGGCTATTATTAATCGCTAAGTAACCTGGTAAAGCCAAACAAATTTGTTTCCATTGAAAGGATCTCTATCTGTGTCTGAGAATTTGTGCCGTACCAAACCAACCTCATTAACTGTGTCCACTTTTGACAAAGAACTAGGACTTGGAGAGACTGGTGACCTTTCTTTGTCCTCAAGGAACAGATCTCAGAGCCGAGAAATGTGAGTAAATAAGCATTTTTACAATAGCATTAATAAAAATAAATAAACATACATTCTCGGATTTTTAAAAGCAATTACACCTGTCAACATTGGTACATATGTTTCCTATTTAGTAATTACTCTTTTTTCGTTGCAGATTTGTCTGGTCAGCCTCAGTGTCTATGAACCGCAGAAAATAAAATGCCTACGAATGAATATTTACAAGTTCTTCATTTCCATTCAACTTCTTGCCAATAATGGTAAAAGCTAGCATTGTCCAAAAACGAGTAAGTGCTGGACAACACAGAAGAAAAGCATTTATATACAAATATATATTTAATTATAATGATATCTGAAATAATTGTGTTTCATCAATGAAAGTTGACTATTATTATTTTGAATGGATGATTCACTATTCACTATAGTAATTTGATAAAATTAAATTACATTTGTCAAAAAATGCAGAACTTGGCAGCAAATAATTTTATTATGAACAATCACTGCAGCATAAAGGCTATATCAGTAACAAGTATTTCCTTTCTTCTTTAATCTCCAATGCTAGTCCAATAACCGCCCTGGGAGTTATAGGATGGTATTCAACTATATTTTACTCAGACTAGACCCAGTGCAATTTATGGACCTAGTTTAGTCATGTTCAATCATTTTAATAGGTCTACTCTAAGTAAAACTTAGTTGAATACCACTCACAGAATTGATGAGCAGATATAATTCTTTTTTACGCGAACAAGCAGCCTACATTTTTAGAGCTCATTTTCTTCACAATATATATCAATGCTAAACTGGCAACAGAGAAAAAGCTAAGATGGTATCTTTTGTTGAACTTGTAGGGTATCTTATATAATATTTAATGGAAACACTATAATTTATGAATTTAAATGCATTATACATATAAAAACATGATGTGGTTGTTAGATCCTAGTTCAACACTAGGTGGCTAGTGATCTAGAACAATGAATAGGTGGGAAGAGAGAGGAATCTCTCCCTTCTGCAAGAGTTCTAAGCTCTCTAGCACACACCCATAGAAGGAAAAACAGGGTTTGAGTTGGGATGAGTGCAGGAATGTGATGAATGAGAACATTTTAAAGGACAATAATTACAGCAACAGCATTTCTTCCTCAAGTGGGTTCACACAGAGTCCTACGTTTGGGTAAGCAGTGATTCAAAGAGGCATATAAGTAGGAATCCAAGACTGAATAGGGAGCCTAAAAACAAGGAACTATTTTAAGAAAGGATTATATGTTATGCCCTACTATTACAGTGCTTCTAGAGTGGTACCAATTCCCAAGCAGAAGGCACCCCCAACTGTCTGCAGATTCTTAAGGGAAGTCCAATGATATCAGAAAATAAATGTATGTTCCCAGGTAGCAAGATTTGATAGGAATTAAGCTTCATCCTGAACCAGTGCAAACAAATTAGAGGGCACTGAATATTCTAATTCAGTGCATCTAGTACAGTGGTACCTCGGGTTAAGTACTTAATTCGTTCCGGAGGTCCGTTCTTAACCTGAAACTGTACTTAACCTGAAGACCACTTTAGCTAACGGGGCCTCCTGCTGCAGCCGCGCTGCCGGAGCACGATTTCTGTTCTCATTCTGAAGCAAAGTTCTTAACCCGAGGTAATATTTCTGGGTTAGAGGAGTCTGTAACCTGAAGCATCTGTAACCTGAAGCATCTGTAACCTGAGATACCACTGTATACGTTTCTGCAGTGGGTCTCTCATGGGCAGACATGCTTGGGACTCAAAGGTGAGGGAAGGCAAAAAGGGAGACAGTCTCTACCAAAGGTAGAGGAAAATACTTCTATGAGTGAAGGAAAATACTGAAGGAACAAAATGATCACCCCAGGTGAAAGCACATACACATTTCCCTCTACTTTTCCTGAAAACTTTTAAATTAAATTCTTTAAAAAATACAAAAAATTTTAATAAGAACCCCTAGATGTCAGTATAGTGGTACCTCTGGTTACAAATGCTTCTGGTCACAAATGCTTCAGGTTATGAACTCTGCTAACCCGGAAGTAGCTGCTCCTGGTTGCGAACTTTGCTCCAGGATGCGAACGGAAATCGCGTGCCAGAGGCACGACCACAGCGGGAGGCCCCATTAGCGAAAGTGCACCTCAGGATAAGAACAGTTTCAGCTTAAAAACGGACCTCCTGAACAAATTAGTTCATAACCAGAGGTACCAGTGTATCACCCTCTTGAAATCACAATGCAGCAAAACATCAGTTGAATCTGAAGGGGGAATCAGGGCCCCATAATTTGACCATTCAGATTAAAGATGTCACATTTTTTTGTCAACTCAAATAAATGATTATTCCTTTCTCCTATGAGTTATAATTCATAATTGCTAAATTAATTGATTAAATTATGTAAATCTACATATGAATAAAAATTGGTTAGAACGTGGCATACTTTTTTGTTTTTTAAAAAAATGATATTTATTGAAAAATTTTTAGAATTACAAAAGAGAACAAAGCAGAAAAAGAAAAAAACCAAAGAAAAAACAAACCACATCAAACAATACAAATTCAAAAAACAAAAATACACCACAAACACACAAAAACAAATCCATCATTCTCGAATTCTCAACTTTCATTACCTTCTTTCTTTGACCTCCTCCTCCTCCCTTTTTTTGTATCCTAGTTATTAATTGTCGCAGCAAATCCTTTCCATATTTCATAATATTCTGTCATTACATTACCTTAATCTATTTTCATCTTATCTTATAGAAAACCTTAAAACTTAAAACTTAAATCTTATTTTTACCAACTTCTCATAACCATAATATTCTTACCTAATTCTTTAAACATTTTTGCTAAAGCCAAGTAATTTCGTTCCAACATTTTTCTAACATTCATCAATTTTATAAAACAATCCTAGTAATATAAAAAAGAAATAAAAACAATCCAATCTTCATCCAGCGTCCCTTCCTCCTGGTCCCGGGTTTTGTCAGTCCTTTTTATCCCATTGATCTAGCGCATTAACCTGGTAACCTTATATCCGAGGCCCTTAAGTCCCTTCCTTGTCCCTTCCGCGGCTCTTCTTCATATTCTCCTTTCACTCGTGGGAACTCCAGCTTGGCAATGTTTTTGACCCTTTTCAACAAATCAGCCCCTTTTCCATAGTCCAGACTAAACTCCATGTGGTATTTAAAAACATGTTTCAGAATCCCTCCAAAATTAAGAGCCCCCACAGCCCCAAACATCTCACGGCCCATTGCCAGACTTGAAAAGTCCAAACATCCCTGCATAGGGGGGTCTATCCAACCCCCCATTTCCAAACCAGTCCAAACTTTATCTTTCCAAATCTGGCTTTTTCCAAGTTCATTTGTCAAATCCAAAAGCTCATGTTCCTGCAGGGCCACAGCTCCCTCCATCTCTGGCGCCCAAGATTCAGCAACATCCTCTTCTCTCATCTGTTCTGTCGGGGCACACTCCTGATTTAATTCCTGGGTGGGCTCCATAGAGTTTCCCACTGCCTGTTCAAAAATTCTGATCACATCAGTCATCAAATCCGTCTTCTCATTTAACTGATCCAATAGGGCATTTGTTTTACAGAGAGCACACAACAGAGCTTCTGAATACATTGTCCTACAAGGTCAAAAGTCTATTCCCACGATTGTAATCTATAACAGCTGCAAGCTCCCTGGAATTGGTTACAGTTTCACAGTCTCCTTCTAGGGGGGAAACTTCTATTTGTTCTTTCTTTTAGGGACAAATCTAGCAACAAAGTTTCCTTTTTCAGATATTTTGTCAATATTTGTTCCTTTAAAATGTGAAGGGGAACAATGGAATCACTATGTTTCTCTTCTTTTAGCTATCTGTCAAAAACGTTTGTCTCTGGTCAATGAGCTTCAAACGTCAGTCCTGACACCCCGCTCCAGGATCAGGACGGTGGAAAGTTACTTTACTTTAAACTCACTTCTGCAGGTTTAAACAGTCCGAAAAATATCCCCCTTCTTCTCCTGCTTCCGAAGGGGGGGTTCAACAATTTTATATGATGAAAGTTAATCTTTTAGAAGCGATTTTCTGAGCTCTAGTTTACCTTGTCTTTGCTTTATTCTGTCTACAAAGAAACGGAAGGCTGACTTCCTGTTTAGACCTTCCCGTTTCAGTGCCAAATTGAAGTAAATTTTTAAGTCCAATTCCTTTCTGCTCGCAAGTCCTTATTTAAAGTCCAATTGTCCGAAATTTAAGTACTCACGGGTGATTATTTTAGAAGCCAAATTGTCCCAGGAAAAAGGCAGCGCTCTCCGGCAACGGCTATGCGGCTTCGCTCCACAGAAGAAGCAGTTGACTCTCAGCACCGCGCCACTTCCCCCTCTTCACTTCGGAGCCCGTTAGTGGGTTCCTTTGCGGGTTGGGGGGGCGCTAAGGGTGCCCGCCGAGTCCCATGGTCACAGGCTTCATCCGCCTGTGATTTTTGAAAGGGTCCCCGCTTCGCTGTAGCAGAAAAGACCCGTTTCGCGTGGAGCTAGTCCCTCCAGATCAGAGGGAGTCCGCCATTGCCGATGGCGCCACCCCGGAAGTCTACTTTTTTGTTTTAGATGGCACCATCTTACAAAAGCCCTTCAGCACGAGGATGAACTAGGAATTCCTCTTCTAAGATGTTGCCTGTCATGTAATCCTATATAAACTTGGCTTGGCTCTTCTTATGTTCCTACCCTATGCATAGGATATTAGTGAAGTCACAAAGGAAAATGAATATGTGAACCTGTGCCTGACATTCTGCCCCCAAATGCCCTACAAAATAGTAAAAGTTGGAGAAAGCGAGAACGAAGGCCTAATAAAGCTTTGGGGAAGTTGGAGAAAAAGGAATAGAATCTTTTTATGTTAAAATGCCACAATAATTTAAATCCTTTCACTAGTTAAATGCATTCATATTTTAGAAGTAATGCACTTAGGAACACTTGTCATCATGATTCAACTAAGATTATATGCAACAAATGTCTGAGACTGTGAATTTTTCACTTTTGGTTAGGTATTAAAAATAAAACTCATTCATGTGCCAAGGTAACTTATTGTTATTCTGAGTTTTCATTTATGCAGTGTGCAGTGGTGTTGGTTCCAGCTATGAGATGCAAATTTGGTTGACAGTGCTCCTTCTGTTTCTATAAATGTTAAAAATACATATATAATGTTTTCCTAGCACTTTAGTAGATGTCTTTAAATGATGATTACAGCAGTATTCAGACCGTAATGGTGATGCACTCAACACTAAGATTTTGCAGATTTATACTGACATACTTTCATTGAACTTTATCAAAATATTGCATTTTGTTTTGCATTTTAATAAGAAGTTTGTGATCTTGTGACTGTATAACTATAAATATGTAGCATTAAGGAAAGCAAAGGGCATTTCAGACAAAACAAAATAGTGTATAATTTGTATAGGAAAGGGTAGAGCAAAACAGTCAAGATAGGGCATATTCACAGTAAAACATTAATAAAAACAAAATAAAACTGTGGTTTACTCTGATGGAGTCATCATATCAGGAGGGATATAGTATCAAACTAGTCTGTTGATCTCATGACCACATTTCCAACTCTCTATTCCAGGCATAGGAAAACTCCAGCAATCCAGATGTTTGGGACTACAATTCCCACCATCCCTGACCACTGGTCTGTTAGCTAGGGATGATGGGAATTGTAGTCCCAAACATCTGGAGGGCTGGAGTTTGCCTATGCCTGCTCTATTCTTTAGATCTACTAGAAAGGTAAAAATGATAGTGGTTTACATATTTCATGCCAAGATAATCTATTGCTGGTCTTTATGATTTGGGATCTAAGTCATTGCTCCTTCCTTTTCTATAAAATTATTGCTGCGTTCAAATGAAGTATCCTAGCTTGTAGGCAAATCTAAGCTTTGTTCTGGGCTTAGCAATCCTGGTTTCACCAAAATGAATCACAATCCCCAACGCTGCCATGATGTTAAGCCAAGGATTTCACTTTGTTTTTCCCAAGTAGTGGTAGGGAGGAGTGAAATGGACACAACACAGTCTTGTATGGTAAACTATGGTTTATGATTACCATGATGTCTCCACATGGCCAATGAAGTGTAAAATTTGGCTATCAATGGGTTATTTGATTGTGCCAATAATCTTCAGTAAAAGTTTTTTTACAACACATGTAGTAAGCATTTATTTATGTAAAAGTATTTTTAAAAAGATACAGATACACTTACATCAGCTCTCTGAGCCTCAAAGTCAATAAAGGAGCTTTCAACATGAATTGGCACTACATCAATTTCTGGGGATCACAGTCAGTAGTGCATCAGCAATGATTCCTCTGATTACTGCCTTCCTGCCCCAATATTTACTTTCAGTAGCAGAGCTATGCTAAGTAGAGAGGAGATGAGACACAGGAGTCTACGAAAAACCACCGAGAAGTTATATGTTCATTTAAGATGAGGGCGGGAGTGGAGTTACATTTAAATGAGGCTTCAGGAGTTTTACTGCAGAAAGATACAGTAGTTTTCTACTTACTCACTCTGAGAACCTTCCAAAATGTAACAAGGAGAGCGTGTATAAGCTTTGTGAGAAATAACACTATGGTGGGGTTGCCATGTTTCAAAATATGGGCCAAAATTGTTGAGCTTGTTTGGCAAAATTGCCAAAAGGACCACACACACAAAAATTGAGCTATTTTAAAGGAAAATCGCCAAAAACAACACGACCAACATAGGTTGCCATACATCCGGATTTTTCTGGACATTTTAGCAATTTCCACCAGACACTGCTTCCAACTGCAGTATTCCACCTATGTCTGGGAATTTCCGGATGTATGGCAACGTTATACTATGGTCATATTCATTTTAAGTCAGGTGTGGGGAACCCTTGGCCCTAGAGATGTTGCTGAACTACAACTCCCATCACCTCCCATAAGAAGTTAGAATTACTTAACCCAATGTGCATAACTTTACACTTGATTGCACTGAATCACATTTAATGCCCATTCACCCAGTTTAGAGAGCTAGCTCTTTGCAAACCGTTCCTGTTCTTACACTTTCCCTTCTTCACTTAGTTCATTTTCCTCTTTAGAAGGATCCAGTGAAGTCTCATAGTCCAAACCCCATTAAAAAACTAAAACCAAACCAGAAAAAAACAGATAACATATCCTGGGGACAAACAAAAATCCCTCTATGTGTGGGTACAACTAGCCACGGAACAGAAAGTATGGGGTCCCCCAGATGTTTTGGACTACAATTCCTAACATCCCTAACTACTGACCATGCTGTCTGGGGCTGCTGGCAATTGTAGATCACAACATCAGGAGGGCACCACATTGGCTACCCCTGTTAACCATATCAGTCAATTAGTCACGAGTAAATTCAGTTTGTCTCTACAAAGAATAATTATAACACAATGATTAAAAAGCAAGATAACGTACTGTTTTAATGGCCCACTACATTCCCCCCACATAAAATCCCACCTAACATTTCATGCGTATGAAAGAAGAGCTACAAGTCTATTAACATGAACAGAGCAAACACCCCTCTCCTCTGGTGTTTCTCTCCCAGATAATTTTACTTCCAATCTTGGTGCCTGGCTCTTTTACCCTGAACTGCAGATACCCTGTCAGATGCCTACAACTGCATAGAGCAGGAGTGATATAATTTAATCAATTACAACCCAAGAATTGTGTTTTCAAAAATCTCATTTATTAATATATAATCTTTAGGTAATCATATTTACCCTCCTAATTTATGGAATATTTATAATGCTATATGTGTCCTTGAAATAGGGACAGTATGCTATGAAAAAGTGGCCCAGCTACTGGAGTTCATAAATTTTGTTCAGCTTTGGATGAGTTCAAAGAATTGCCATGTAAGAAAAGCCTTACAGAGGGAATTTATCTGATTATGGCAGTAATAATTACCCAGCTGTTTATTGCAGATAGAGAAATAATTCATGTAGGCAATAGGCCGTGGTGGCAATGACACTCCACATTTAGTAAATATGCAAACTGTTCACTTCTAATTAACCAAGCTAGAGGATGCCCTTATTAAATGTATAAACTAAAAGTGCCTTCCTGACAAGTGATGAATTGTTACATTGCACAAACTCTTGCCACAGAATTATTGGAGTGAACTTGGGGCTTAACTTCATTAAGAGATCTTGTGGGATAGTTAAATGAGGATGGACAGCATAACAAGGCCAGCCTGACAGCCAATGATATGTTAGAGCTTAATGAAATTGCACCTTTTCCTTCTTTTCTACTTACTTTACAGTTAAGATCCCACTTTAGATAAAATAGGAGACTGTGAAATCTGTTGCAGTTGAGACTATATAAAAGTGCGTGATACACACTGAGGCTCAAGTTTTAACAGCAGAATCAATCTACAGAAGATACTAAAGTCCATAAGTAACCTTAATAAAGGTAGTTCAGCAGCCAAAATGTCCCATAATTACTTTATCACTGCTCTGGAACAGCTTTAAGTTTCATCCAGGCTCTACGGTGAATTGTTCAATTAAAAAAAGTGGTACAATGAAATTAGTTGCCAAGTTTTTGAAGAAACAGATTCAAATTTGGCCAACACTTTAATTTTTGCCTGGAAGCTAATGGGCAGCCATATCAGTGTAATATGCTGCCATTTACCTAATCCTGTTAAGAGGCAGGACACCATCTTCTCCCCAAAGGAAATCTCCAAACAGTGCTGAAAAGTAGTCACAGAGAGTTTGCACAATTAACTAATGTTCATGTTAAGAAAGACTAATTACCGTATCAGATCTTGATCAGATACAGAGAATCCCCATGTGTATTTTGGACTTGATAACTGTCAAGGCAAAGCAAGATTCTGCTAGCAGCAGACCTTGGGTGTCTCAACTTTCAGTGGTGCCCTGTTTGACACCAAAATCTGGTGTGTGGGTGTGTGTCCCCAACCTCTCGCCTTCCATTGGATGTCATAGTTGCGGTGCCTCAGAAGCCCCGTGACCAGTGCAGCTGTACCGGTTGTGTTCCCCTAGATCCGCCTTTGATCCTACTCAACAAATTGTTTCCCTGTTATATATGGGAATTCACCCATCCCTATCAATCACACACACACACACACACACACACACACAGAGAGAGAGAGAGAGAGAGAGAGAGTTTCAAATTGCTTGCTTTCAACAGAACATTTCTCTGTTCCAACCCCTCTTGCTCCGTTAAAACTGCTTAGTCCTAAGAGCCAACAGGTTTCCTTTGGGTAGTCTAGTGTAGTCTAGCCATACTGTTTGTGCTCAGTTTCCAGAGCCCTCTTGAGGAACAGAATAGGGTGTGGAGACTTTTTGGCTGCATGGGACAGATCCTTATCTGGATCTGCATCAAGGGGCCAAATCTGGCAAATGGGCAGGACCCCCACCTGTCAATCACATGATATCATTATGTCACATGAAGGGGGAAACGGGCTTTTGCAATAACTTTCTTGTGAGTCACCCTGAATTTACTTACTAATAAAGATAGGATATAAATGGTCAAAATAAAATAAAGACATCTACAAGGGCATTGGGCAATATTTGTTTACAATGCTGTGATATGCTGGTCAGACCTACTGAAACACTCGGTTTTGTTCCCAAGCTGGACAAACCAACTGTCCTTACTGGATGCTTTATTAAACATTTGGTGGAATACTAAATCTGAGTAGTTAAGTTCCTGTTTGGATTTGAAATGAACATTTAACCCAGGCTCTTGGGTTTAAAAATGGGCTATTTTTATACCGATTATAACTCTACAACATCACCTAAATTTGAAACACGACAGTGATCTGTCTTTGTCCAAACTGCTTCCTTTAGGATCAGAAAAGCGAAGAACAATGCATTTATTACACAGGCAAACACAAGTTCCCAACACCATCTCTGCCAGATTCCTATAAAGGCTGGGGCTGCGTTTGTAGCACAGAAACAGCTGGTGGGAATAAGATGCTTGCCCTCCCCTTTTCCATTGATTCTCCCCTGAAGATGTGCCCTCCAGCTCTTTATCCCCCAGTTGTGCTTCTTCCAATCTCAGAGCTTGGCTGAGAAATGTAGGGTTAAAATGGCCAAGGTGGATTTGGAAGGAAGAATGACTTAGGCGCCCTATCCTGCCTAACTCTTTCTTGTTTTAGTGTTACAAGGCAAACACGGGGATCCCACATTTGTCTCATAACTTGCAGTTCAAGCCAAAGGGTCGCCAGTTAAACCTATTTCAAATGAAGCTTAAAGCCATAAGCAATAGCAAAGGGCTTGTGGATAACAGTTCTAATGAATTCAATCTATTCCTGAAATTAGCTCATTTTCTCAGTTGATTGCATCCCACCTTTAATGCTGCAAAACATTAAGTAACAGATAAAGTCAATGTATATCTGAAACTAAAATTAGGAGAGAAACTCAGTGTATTGTAAGTTTCACCATTAACAGCATTATGATTTTTATTAATGCTGCCAATCTGTATCTCTGAGGCTAGTTTTTAATTTCATGATATCATTTTCTTGTTCATAACCTAGGGCAGTTTTTGCATATGGGGCTATAGGTTATAAGTGGACACATCTAGAAAATGCATACTCAGTCTTTAAATTAATCAAACCAATTTATCTTTGTAAGAGGCAGGCTGTGAAAACCTAATCTTACATATGTGTTATATAAACATAATGACAAAGGGGGCTATCCAGACACATACGGTGGTATTCAGCTAAGCTTTACTCCATGTAGATTCACTAAAATTACTAAGCACAACTAGGGTAGATTTATTAATTTCAATGGGTTGCCTCTGAGTAAAGCTTAGCTGAATACCACTCATAGAAGATTTTTGTTTCTAAGTACTGCTTGGTGGGGTGTTATTGTTTTGTTTTTATGTTATGTATTTTGTTTTTATACTGTAAACCACCGTGTAATCTTCAAATGAAGGGTAATATACAAATTAATTTTTTTAAAAAATCTGCTGCATTTTTACTACAGTATTTGTGTTTACAATAACTAAAATGTGCACAAATGCCTTTTTTTTGGGTAAATTTACAAGATCTAAGTATTGATGCATCTTGATTGGAGCTGTAACACAAATTATTTCTCCCACAGAAGATTATGATTTCCCTTTCTGAGTTGCTAAAAATGAAATAATCTGCCAAACAGGGCTGAAGCGATGCGAGAAGACCCATGATGGCAAAAATCACATCAAGTGAAATTGTCGTTTGTGGGCAATTCTCAGACTAGGGAATCTGCAGCCTTGTGGATGTTTTTGGATACCAACTCCCATCAGCCCCATTTAGAATGCCCAATGGTCAGGGATGATGGAAGCTGTTGTTGTTGGCATCAGTCTGTCTTCAGAGACAGTGGAGTGTGCCTCTGGGAGTGAAGTCAAGCCACTGAGTTAGCAGGACTGAATAATAATAATAATAATAAATTTTATTTATATCCCGCCCTCCCCAGCCGAAGCCGGGCTCAGGGCGGCTAACAACAATAAAACAGTACAAAAGTACAGCACAAACAACACTCTAAAATCATTCATTATAAAATTAATTAATTCAAGCCACTGGCAACCATTGGGCCAGAGCTCCGCAAAGATTGCCGAGGGAGGGAGTCAGGATGTGCCCTGGCCAAAGGCCTGGTGGAACAGCTCTGTCTTGCAGGCCCTGCGGAAAGATGTCAAGTCCCGCAGGGCCCTGACAGAGTGTTCCACCAGATCGGAGCCACGGCCGAAAAAGCCCTGGCTATAGTTGAGGCCAGCCTAACTTCTCTGTGGCCTGGGACCTTCAAGATGTTTTTATTTGAAGACCGTAAGTTTCTCTGTGGGGCATACCAGGAGAGGCGGTCCCGTAGGTACGAGGGTCCTAGGCCGTATAGGGCTTTAAAGGTTAAAACCAGCACCTTAAACCTGAAGTGTCCTCCCTGGGGCACAAGCCTAGGAGAAGTTGTATTCCAGCCACATCTGGAAGATCCCAGGTTCCCCACACCTATTTTAAAGGGATAGTGACACTCTCTTGGTGTCTTGACCTACAGACCTTAAGGAAGCAGTGAGGCCCAAGGGACAGAATGTTCAATGCACTGCTGAGTGATGGAGGTGAGTCTAACTCAGGGCTGGATTACTCTATAAACACTCTCAGTGCACATGGTGGACAGTGGTGGCAATATTGTCTTCTTAACCATCTCCAGCTCCTTGACCCCTGAGAGCCATATCTGGTAAAGGCACTGGAAAACTATCATGGCCTAGCAGCATGTGCCTTGTCTCAGCACCCATTCACCAGAATTAGGGCCCACATACATGTTGCAATTGCGGACTTAAGCCTCTAGCACTACTTCATTATTCTACAGACTTGTTAATATAGAAAGTCCAGAGTATTTTTCTCCTGAGCAGATGGAAAGAGATAAATTCTGTGTTGTATGTATTTCAGCTTTGGGCTCACTCCAGTGGATTCAGTAGAATCATAGCTGCATGCATACTGGTATAAACGAGACCATAATTTGCACCACATGCTTAGGTAAGAGAAAGAAGAAGACTACTTTATATATTGGATAATGGAGGCAATTCTTTCCATGAAGAAATAATTTAATTAGCACCATAAACTATTTAGAAATATATAAAAAAAGAAATTTAAAGTTTCACTACTCAGTATTTTTATCTTTACCTGACCAGCTCATTATTCAAAGCAATAGCTTCCAGGTACTTCTTCAGTGCATAATAATTATGGATATATTTTCGCACGTAATAGCCTCGCCATCTTTTCTGAATCTAGTGGAGAAAAAGCACATATATTTGCTTCAATACTTTTTTTTGCAAGAGAGATCACATTGTCAATTTATATTAAAAATCTAGTTTTATGAGAGATGATATTGCTTCAACATCAAGCATGCATGTATACATAATTACAGGTATGAGGAAAAAGTAATATATTGAAATAGTACTTATTGATCAAGGAATGCTAAAGTGAACATGAGCTTACAATGGTTGTGTAAGGTATTTTGCATATTCCAAAGAATTTTGAGGGCCTTTAGAATGAAATCCATTCACCTGCTTTCCTAAGCAGTACCAAAAGAAATAAGTAGTATATTCAAGTCAAAGCTGTTAGCCACGTTTAAGTTAATTACAGCGTATCATGTAAATTAACATCTAGCTTCTCTACATTTCAAATTTCACTAAAGCTATTATCTTAAGAATTGGTCTGCATTTTATCACATAGAAAGCCATCTGTCTCTGTTTACAACTTTAAAGGCTCTTTCCCTACAACTAAGGAATGCTAGGTGGAGATAAGGTAAAGGTAAAGGGACCCCTGACCATTAGGTCCAGTTGTGGCTGATTCTGGGGTTGCGGTGCTCATCTCGCTTTATTGGCCGAGGGAGCTGGCCAGCATGACTAAGCCACTTCTGGCGAACCAGAGCAGCGCACGGAAACACCGTTTACCTTCCTGCTGGAGCGGTACCTATTTATCTACTTGCACTTTGTGCTTTCGAACTGCTAGGTTGGCAGGAGCTGGGACCGAGCAACGGGAGCTCACCCCGTCTTAGGGATTCAAACCGCCGATCTTCTGATCAGCAAGTCCTAGGCTCTGTGGTTTAACCCACAGCGGGACCCACACATGATTCTGAATGCCAAGGGAAGTGATTGCTGAGCCATATTCACAAGGAAGGGGGGTTAAACTTTCCAGAGGGTTAAACTTTCCTGCCAGGTGGGATGGGGCAATGCAGGAAAGATAAGCTGTGGCTATTTCAAAAGAAAGCTCTGAAGGATCAAACAAAAGATCTATTTCGTCCAGCATACTGTTTCCACAATGGCCAGCCAAAGAGAAGCCCACGAGCAAAACATGAGGGCAACAGACATCTTCCACTCAGTTGCCCAGCATCAGGTATTCAGAGGCACACTGACTCTAATACTGGAGGTAGTACACAGCCATCAGGACTCCTAGCCACTGATGGCGTATCATCCATAAATTTGTCTAGACTCTTTTATCGCCTGAGGTCTTGCAAAGAGTTCCAGAGCCTGTGTAGGGCCTTCCCAGAGCCCAGTAAGCAAGGCAGAGGGCTTAAAAGCACTTTCCAGGGTGGGAAAACACTTTGTGGAAAGAGCTTTTAAGCCCTCCACTCTTCTCTTCAGCGCTAGGTTGGTCGTGTGAGGGCTCTGGAGGCTCCCATGAGATCTCAGACAGCCCTGCAAAATCTTGCAATGGCCTCCAAAGCCTGGTAAGAAACTGTCTCCCGCCCGCTTTCTATTTATTTATTTTTTGGCAATCCACCTGAAGTAAAATCAGTGTGTTGTGACTGGCACTCTTAAACATAAACTATATAGAGGAGGGGTGAAAAACTTTGCAGAGCACAGCAGTGGGTTGGATGTATCAAAGTAAACTCTGAAGCATTCTAGGAGGTTCTAAAAGTATTCCAGAAGGCTAACTCCAAACTGGGTGGTAGGCCAAGAAAGAAGTGGCTGACATTCGGAGTAAAGTCATTTAGTGGTGTCAGATAAGACTTAATTGGTCCTCCCTTTCAGGTCTAAGTCTTGAACAGGACATAGAGCAGGCCTGAACAAATAGTGATCCACAAAGCTGGATGCAGCCCTGTGTTGTGTCAGGAGAAGTGCTTTACAAACCCTCTGTTCTGGCAGTCCCAGGCCAGCAGCAAACCCCGGAGGTTAACTGAATACCTTATGGAATGCTATACAGTACAAGACTCACAAACCACATTTAGCTTTATGGGTCAACTGTTGTTTAAATCTAAAGCGGACAGCATGCATCTTTTGAGACACCTGTGTATGCAACACCCTACACATTTTTAATCCTTACATCTCATTGGATGTTTTCCAGTACTAGTACTATCCCAAATGGCACACACATTGTCATTAATAGCTTTTCCAGTACAGTCATAGTTTTATATACTCTACATTCCCTATTATCTATTGTCTGAGCTGAAGAGTCCTAGCCATTTTAGTCTCTCCATATGCCAGAGCTTTTTTCTGGTGTTTCCCAACATAGTGCAAGACACACAACTACCTACCTGACTTTGCTGAATGGGTTAGAAAATGTAATACTTCCACTACCGTATCTTACAATTCCAAGGTGAATATTTACACACTCCTACAAAAGGCGAGTGTGTATGCCCTTCAAAGTAATTAGCAAGTTTCAATGGTGATTGGTACCAAACAATTATTGTCATTGATCAGTACCAAACAGATAATTTTAAACAAAGTCATTGTGTGCTCAGCAGATTACAGCTTGTTAACGGGCAAGTTCTAAATGACCTCTTAAGCTAGTCAAATCAATGATGCATATTCCTCATTAAGTAACATCAAAATGTAAGTGGTCTTATAAATAATGTTTATTTTAAGCACTAAAACAAATGGCAAAACCTTGATATATCAAAAGCCATCTGCTCACACAAAGATTGTTCCTTTAAAAAACATGGATTACTTTTGTTGTTGAAAATTCACAGCAACCCTTAAATCTTCCAAATGAAAAGGATGAATATATAACAACCCACTATACTAAAAGTAAATCTGATTCATGGAAAATTATGCATTATAATAATTGCTTTCTTTGTGCTTTTTCTTGTTCTAAAGGTGAGAGTTTGACAGTAGTGGGTTAGATATAATTAAGGGACAGCTTTAAAGAATGCACAGTGACACAAAAGCCATTACACCAACCAGGTGTTTTGCCTTTCTGTCCGAATCTAATTTTAAAACTGTTTTTCAAAACGGAAGATATGCTGCACTGGTACAATGAAGCCGTATCAGGCTACCCAAGGCTTTTATTTTTTATTTTTTACTTAACACACACACAGCATTTTTTCTCTCCCTTTTCACCTGAAGGCATTAGCCTATGGGCAAGTTTCAGCAATTTAGCAGCATGGGACTGCATAAAGAAAAGGAAAACACTGATAGGCTGTATACAGCGTACAACTTTTTATTTCCTGTCTTTACACCAGCAGATTAATTTTCAGGTATTATGCTCCAGTTTTATGCCAATATTTATGCCAATGATTTTACAGGGTTTATGGTGATATAAACGCAAGCATCACGACAATTATGGTGGGACCTCCTCTGCTGAACACCAAGCACAATCTCACTTAAAAGAAACATTGCTAAATGCATTAAAATTGGGAGGATTAAGGGTTGGATCAAGATACGCTGTTATGAAAACGGAAGAGTGCCTCCCGTTTGTAGGAGTCAAATGCAGAAGAGGCTTCCTTTCAGCAAACGGGATGTTGCCACATCAGGAAGGAGGGAAGGCAATTTCTACAGATCTCCTCTCCCTTCTGCAACCTCCAGTGCCATCTCCTATTCTGCTCCAGAGGGTCTCTCAACTCCCTGAAACATATTTCGACCACGGGGGTATGGGGAATCGGCAAAAATTGCCTAGCCTCTTCTGCCGGTGACAGCATCCAGTTTGCGGAGTTCCACTCCATGCAACTTTAGATCCAATCCTATGGATTTCAGAGTCTGGAATGTTGAGACCTAGGTATCCCACACCCCTTAGCTTGACACTAGGCTTCCTACAGAGTCTCTATATGTCACTGATCTAGATTACCCAGAATGTCATCTCAGGTAATCCAGATATGTGGTTTCTAAGAGATGGGCAGAAGAAGAAGTCACACTCTGATTTTCATCCTTAGTACTCTGCACAAGTAAGCTGAGGCTGACAGAAGGTGTGCATGTGAAATACAGGAAGAATACCTGCAAAAGAGGGACTGAGTGCATGTGTGTACTTCCGCGTGGTCAGGGCCAGGGTGGTTGTGGTGTTCTACTAGAGAGACATGGGTTCAAATCCAGTCATGACTCTGAATCAGTCATTCTCACTTAATCTAACCTACCTCATAGGACTGTTGTGAAGATAAAGGGGGAATGAAAAGAATCATGTAGACCGCCCTAAGAGGAAAGGTGGAGAAAATGCACTCAATCATAGATAGCAAAGGCTTCAACACAACAATGCAGGGCTGCACATGCGCTTCCTCAGAAATAGCACTGATCGGGGTTTGGGGGGGGCTGCACCTGTTCTCCGTTCCCACCTCTTGAACAATGATCAGTGTGATATCCAATGATATTATTCAATTTAAAAAAAAACAACCACAACCACAGATTATTTAAATCTTGTAAGGACAATGCACATACACCCAAGCTGCTGCTGGAAGAAGAAGAAGAAGAAGAAGAAGTGGTGGAGGAGGAGGAGGAGGAGGAGTAATTTGGATTTGATATCCCGCTTTATCACTACCCGAAGGAGTCTCAAAGCGGCTAAAATTCTCCTTTCCCTTCCTCCCCCACAACAAACACTCTGTGAGGTGAGTGAGGCTGAGAGACTTCAGAGAAGTGTGACTAGCCCAAGGTCACCCAGCAGCTGCATGTGGAGGAGCGGAGATGCGAACCCGGTTCACCAGATTACGAGTCTAGCGCTCTTAAACACTACACCATACATTGCACAACTGAAAACTATACATGCATCAACCATTACCATGGATGATCCTAGCACAACTAGGTCCGAAATTAAACAGGTTTCACTTCTGGTCTGAGTCACATGATACAGCAAGGTAAGCTGAAGGTAAGTAGGTCTGGGTCTGATCAGTGTCTGAATGGGAGGTTACCAGTGAAATCTGTGTAAGCTGCTTTGAGTCCATCATAGAATAAAATTGGTGGGTGGGTGTACACATATATAAATGAATAATATAATATTTAAATAGCTATGACAAAGGGCCCCAACATTTGGAATAGAGAAGAATTCACACATCAATATCTTAAATCAAACAGAAATTTTCAAAAATGCAACTTAGATTACTTAGTGTAACTTTAAATTTGTAACTATGTACCATTTCCTCACTTTACCATCAGCATATCAATCAAGTGTATATTATTCTGGGTTGCTCATTTTATTAAAAGCAAATTCAGAGCACAATTGACTTTTCATTTGTTTAACAAGTGAAGAAATATTTACCCTGACAGCCATTTCATTGTAGAAATTCATCTTCATAATAAAATATGCTGTCTGTGAATCAAGGAGGGGTGGGGGGAAAGATGGCATACATTTCAGTTACACAAAGACAGTACTCCTATTTTTACATATAAAAGATAAGAATCTTTATACATAATACATAATAAGAGTTCTAGGCTTAGAGAGAATAAAATCAAACTTTGTATTGAAGAGATAGGCTTCCTAATACATAATGCAGGCTTAACCAGAAAAATCTATGGTAGTCAAACTAGCAGCTAATGGAGATATATGATCATAAAATGCTCTCCGCTGAGTTTGATAATCAATGGTGCTCTACTGAGAGTAGAATAACAAAGCAGAAATATTCACAAGTGCTGGTGACACGTAGTATTGTATGATTTATTCACTGGGGTTCTTTTAACCAAAACTCACAGAAACATAAAAGGAATTCATATTTCAAGACGTCTGGTTTAATGAAAAATTCAAAGAAATGCTGTCTTCAGTCGAAATCGTTCAAGGATATGGATGCAGTGATGGAGCAAAATTGTGCCTTCCAACCATCTGTACTAAATGTTATGTACTTAGTTGCCTCCTGAGTAATTCTTGGGAATTTTGTTTCATTTAATATTCATTCCAACATCATAAAATCATAAATACAATGATAACATGTTACAGTGAATCCCTTGATATAGAAAACATTTCCTGGTTCCCTTCCAATAAAGGCGAATCCCACTCTGAGTGAAAGAATCCCCTGTTATAGCAAACACTCACTTGGCAGGATAGGTTATTTTAATGGATACATCACTTTACACTAAGCTTTCACATCTGTTCCGCCCTCTAATTACAAATGCAAAATGAACATAATTCACAACTGCATCATAAAAAGTAAAATAAGTACTTTCAAGGCAGAAGATGTCCTTTATTCAGCATAAGTTGCAGACTTGGAGGGGAGGGGGACTACAAATCAGAGGGAAAAGTGATATGTGGTTTCCTTTTCTTTCACTACTCCCCTCACCCTCCCTGGCAAAGAAGAATTCACCGTAAAAGGGTTTCACTGTAATTAGTGTTATTTGAATTGCCTAGTCTGATCCAAAGCAAATTGTCTGTGGAGAGCAGCAGGACTGGATTATTTATCAACAGTCTGGGCAATTAAGAAACAGTTGGCTGCAATATGTTATTTACAAATGAACACAATGATGCTACTTCATTTTAAAATTCGCTTTCTTCATTACATTAGGCCAGGCATAATTCCTTTCATTTAATTAAAGGAGGTCTTAAAATGCTGGCTTTAATATTATATTACTTCCTTTCTAATATAGCAAAAAATTATCACAGGGAAGGGAGAGGTTTTTAAAAACCCAAAAACTGAAAATCTGTTGTTTTAAAGCCTTGGAACAGCTTATTAGGTTGCGGGTAGGATTCACTCTCCTTTTGAGAACTCCTGAGTGGGACAACTCTCAATGAGGCTTGTGTTAAGGACCAAATTTAAAAGGCACTGAATGCAAGCTCTGCTTGCATAGGAACAACTGGAAAGGTGGGTGCGCACCAAGGCTCCCAGTTGTCCCTTCGTAACTGTGGCTTTATCTGCCCCACACTTGATGTCTCAGATGTGGGGCAGGTGGCCAGTTGTGGGGAAATGTCCTTGCAAGTCAAATTAGGCCCCTTGGCAGGCCTAATCTGGCTTGCAAATCAGAGGTTCCCCATGCCAACTTTAGTAGGAATGCAGCCCCATCGGGAAGAGATAAAGCCAATGAAGCCAAGGATATTCCCTCTCATTCTTCCCTTGAATTCAGATCTTTAATACTGTATTCTTTTTTTCTAAGAGCAACAGAACCTGTGAGTCTACAACCAGCCTAGAAAAGTTAACAAGACCTACCAGTAATTTATTTCCCCCTCTTTAATCCTGAAACATTTATACCTGATCAACAGCATGTGAATTTAAAAGCTAGCAAGTACTTGGCCAAACTGAAGAGATTTCACCTACTTTGTATTTCCGTACAGTCTTATGGAAAGCTTACAGTAATTTTTAATTACGAATTTAGTTTTTACCTCCACCATTTCTCTGAATTTTTGTCTTCCTTGATAACCCCGCCACCATTTCTGAATAAAAACCATCATTTTGTTCAGATACCTGAAACAAAATACCTTGGTAAGATTTTTTTCCCCTGGAAATAGTGAAAAGTTGAACCATTTTTAAAAACCCAGTGCATGTAGCAGTCGAGCTTGACAATTAAAATTTGGAGACTTTTTATAGCAATATGCATCCTAAATCTGAGGTGGCAGCTTAAATACTGAAGGTTTCATCCAAATTTCTGGAATACTGGTATCAATCTGGGATTAAAAGCACTAAAGTCTTGCCTGAATCATGGACCCTTTCCAATGTAACTTCTTATAGAGCCACAAAAGGAATAGGGAAGAGGATGCGAAGAGTTAACAGTTTTAAGTCAGTGTCAGCTTCTGACAAGGATAAGATAAGCTGGCAAAAATATAATCATCTCTGGCTGCTTTCCACTTTAGGCTTGTCTGAACTTTGAGCCTCAGAAGAATAATATCAAGTTTCACTAGGCTGGTTTGGACATAACATTGTTGGCTTAATAAACCATAGTTTATCCAAGTGGGAGCAAGTGATGGGCCCACACTCTTCCTCTTTGTTCCTCTCCATCCTTCTTCCACTTGTACACCAGCTTCTGCACCAGATCCTATTACATCCAAAACAAAGAACTGCTTGGTCTGTTTTCAGATCTTGGTTAACAGCCACATTAAGCCACAGTTTCCTGTTCCAGACATAATGGTAAGCTTTGGTTTGTCTGAAGCTGGCATGCAGGAGGAGAAGGGGGTGGGGATGGATGACAGTGGAAAGCACTGCCCCAGTGGTTGTTTTTGACTTAATACCGTATTTTTCGCTCTATAAGACACACCAGAGGTGGCAAACCCACATGCTTCTCTACACGAAGCCCCAACTATTAGTGATTGCCAGGTTGTAACCTGGAAAACTTCTTAGCTTTAAAGTCTGCAGCTGCATTTGGAGATGGTGGTTTCTACCATCTCTTACAAGCTGTTTCTGCCATCTTCACCCAGCCTGCTATAATGAGAAGTATGTCGTCACAACAAACAGGGAGGAGCAGATTAGAGAAGAAAAGCAGGCAGGAGAAACTGCAGCTGCCAGATTCAGCAATAGATTTTTAAGTAAAGGGGACATTTCCAGGATGCAGTCTGGTATTACCACGAGCTCCACACTGCATCCCACAGATACAACAGATATGATCACAGAATTGTAGAGTTGGATGGGATCACAAGGGTCAACTAGTCCAACTCCGGCAATGCAGGAATCTTTTGCCCAATGTGAGGGCTGAACTCATGACTCTGAGATTAAGAGTCTCTACCAACTGAACTATATGTGCAGTCTTTTGTTAATTTAGATACTTTGCAAAAGTCTAGAGAAGCCAGGTTTTAAAAACTTATCTCTTCAAACTGAGTACTTTTCAGAGACATCTTGTCAAGTGAATGTCACATGACTGACATTCATAAATAAATGACTAAAGGGATTTAAATTATTTCCTCCTGCTTATTTAGCCTAGCAATTTTAAATAAAATAAACAAGAAAATAAGAAGAAAATTTCAAAATAGCCGAAAGCTATTGATTTTTTTCATTTGAAAAATAAGGGGGTTCGATATGCAAAGCAAGTTCTTAACTTCAGAGAGACTTGGCAAAGTGGTAAATAACATACAGATTAAGGGTGTAACCTAAAATCATTTTGCCAATAAATAAAGGCTTATGATATCAGTGGGGGTGACTTCCAAGCATGCATGTCTACAATTTGGATGCAAATCAAATTACCGGATATACGCTCGAACTTTGCATCCTCGAAACCAACTCTGAATTTTTACAGCAGCATAATATTCTCTTTTTCTATATTCATCTACACATCTGAAAACACAAGAAATGGTTTTTCACAATTTGCATTTTGGTCAGCCATACAATTAAGTGACATATAAATAAACAAATATTATGATTCAAGAACAGAATAAACAAACAATATATTCTCTGAGTAAGATCACATTCTTTTATTAAACCTAGTAAAACAATTTTGTCTTATAACTGATAGGCAGTAAACAAAGAGTGGTGTCCAACATCCTTGCAGTCTTTCCTGATGGAGAAATGATTGCTGCCTCACAGAAAACAATGTTAGCGTAGCTGTAATTATGGTATATTATGTGAACTCAAAAACAAAAAAAGCAGAAAAGACAGGAATTGGGGTGGGGTTATTCCCTGGATCATAATTATTTTTAAAATTACTCTAATGCCAATCATTATTGAATCCATATTGGACAAGATAGGGTGGGTGGGACTGTGTGTGTGTGTGTGTGTGTGTGTGTTATGTTAGCCATGCAAAGTAGCCCAGTGTAGCTATAACTTTTTTTGCCGGAAAAGGAAAGAGTTTGAATAGTATATGACAACCTAGGAAAGTTATCAACCTGGTGGATTGCTTTGGGTTTTGTTTTGTTTTTGAGGGAAATGCAGTGGGGTGGTAGACTCTGAAGTTGACTGTAGTAGTAGTGCAATTAATTAAGAGGGAAAGAAGAGAGTGTGGGAACAAACAGAGAGTTTCAGTGGTGAGTGGAAGGATGTCTGGATGCCACATCTACAACTCATAATCAACCCAAGGGTAGTCCTGAATACAAGTTTCTGAGATGCCAGGTCTACCTGGGGCTTGTTTGTCTATTTACAGTGGTACCTCAGGTTAAGAACTTAATTCATTCCGGAGGTCCATTCTTAACCTGAAACTGTTCTTAACCTGAAGCACCACTTTAGCTAATGGGGCCTCCCACTGCCGCCGCGCCACCGGAGCACAATTTCTGTTTTCATCCTGAAGCAAAGTTCTTAACCCGAAGTACTATTTCTGGGTTAGCGGAGTCTGTAACCTGAAGCGTATGTAACCTGAAGCATATGTAACCCGCGATACCACTGTATTCTATTTCTTTGAGAGAATCCCATGCCTCTCGATATCCTGGGTAGGGGGGACATTTTATTTATTTATTCGTTTTTTAAACATTTATATCCCACCTTTCTCCCATCATTGAAATCAAGGCACAACATAGATGTGGTTCCAAGGAAGTCGCTCACTGGAGGCACTGACCAGCCCTAGATCAGCTTAGTTTTGCCAAGATGGCCACTTGTTACCTTCAAACCATAACTTGGCATCTTTCTAGGACCAGGAAGCCTCGCAAGCAAAGGGAAGCACTGTAAGAGTATTCCACTAGTGACAGGGCAGTGGTGTGAGCCCCCTTGACTGGACTTAACCATCCAGGAGTCCTTTACCTTTACCCTTTTTTACCATGCTAGTTTGGATGGCCAGGTGCCACGTGGATAGGTCTCCCACACCTTTAATAGGGAGAGATTTCAACAAGCCTGAACTGCCCCTCCCAAAATCTTAATCTAAGCAGTTGCTAAAGGTGCAGCAGCAAATCAAACCCCTCACTTTTCTTTTGCCCACCCCAATGCCCCTGCTCCCCCTCCCAGAAATGAAGTGTCGGGGGGGGGGGGGAGGTCTCCCCTTTCGATTTTTTTGCGCATTGTCAGCAACTTGTTCACCTGTAGATTTTATCCTACTGGGGGCGGAGGAAGGGAGGGAAAGGGCAGCTCCTGCTGCTGCTCCGAGGCCAAAACAAAAGAAGAATTTATCTCTTTCCCCCCCTTCCCCCCCCCCCAGCAGCAAACCTGGGAACTTTCCAGGGGGGGTGGGAGTGGCTGCTCCGGGGGCAACTTCGGCTCCTCAGAGAGGCTGGCGAGTGCGGCGCGAGCGTGAGGGCGAGAGGAAGCTTTACCTGTTCCTAGAGTAATACTCCCCCTTGAAGAGCGGCAGCCTCTCTTGCAGCCTGGCCAGAGTGGCCATCTTCCCCCCTCCCAGCCGGCTCCCATTGATGGTGTACAAGGAGTCGGCATGGCAACCGGGCCGTACCACCCGAGACAGAGCGGGGGTTGGGGGGTGGGGAAAGGGACCGGAGGGAAGGCGCGTTAAGCCTGATGGCGGGGAGGGCGTAGAGGAAAGCAGGACGAAGCGGGTCAAGCGGTGGTCGCGGCGAGGGCGAAGACGCCCCGCTGCTGCTGCTGCCGCCGCCGTTCTTGCAGCTGCTGCTGCTTCGGCGACCCCCGCCAAGGGAGGAATGGTCGGGCCCGGTTTCCTCCCAGCGCCGCGGCTGCTTCCGGGATTCCATCATGGGGGACTGAGGAAGCGCAGCAGCCCCAGAGCTGGCCCGGTGGACGGTCACCTTCCCCCGAGTCTCTGCGAAGCGGCACCCGCCTCCCCAGGGAGCGGCCGACGGCGGGCGCCGGGTACATGTTCCGGGGGGCTGAGCCCAACCCGAGCAGACCTCCGGCCGCCAGGAAGAGCTGGTGAGGGGCAGGGCTGGGGCAGGAGGAAGGGGTGGAGGAAGGGGGTGGAGGGTGAGGCCTGGCTCTAGGGAGGGAGGCGAGGGGGCGGCTTGGGGGGGGGCCGGCGGCCCTGTCAGCTGAACGGGGGTGGCTGGGTGGGGGGCTGCTTCGCTCCGCTGCTGGGCTTTGAGCAGCATCTCCGCGTTCAGAAACAGGCAGGTGAAGAAGCTGCAGCATGGACGCCCCCGTAGTGACCTGCTGGCTGCAGGGGGGTTCGCTGAAGGTTAGCAACCCCTGGCTGTGAAACGTGTGCCAACGGGGTGCAGGGTTTGGATTGGAAAAGAAACCGAGCGGCTCCCAAACTTTCCTCCCCACGAACCACTTGAACATTGCTGAGGGTCTGGGTGGACGACGTAATGCACACACATACACACACGGCTTCCTACTTGCTGTAATAATGGTTAATGCGTTGTGCCGGGCGCTATATGATTTTTAATGGTGTTTTTATTGCTTCCTTTATGGCTTGTGTGTTGCATTTTTGTTTCACGACACAGTAGAATTCAAACTGAAATAAATAAATTGGCATATGGCAATGACAAATGCAACTGAAGAACTCTAAAAGCGGCAATAAAATAAAATCAGTAAGTTTAACGTAATGGATGTGCCATCTCCAGTCTTCAGCAGCAAAGCCACAGGCACATAACGGTGGGCCATTCAGATGAAGCTCGCAGATCGCTGGTGGTCTGCAGGCTACAGTTGGGAAAGTGCTGCTCTAGCACACAGTCTCCATAAAGTGCAGTGGTAGTGAGAATAAGGAGGCAAGCCATCTAGAGCAGACTGGGGTATTGACACTTTGGCTATCATGAAGATATTAATGGGGCTACAGAGTGACTTTTTCATTTTCCTATATAGTTGAGTTGGCCAGAATGTTGTCCACAACTGGGATGATGATTCCCAGGATGATACTTGTAAAGATGTAACTTTTGAGAACTGCACTGCGTACTGAGAATTACGTTTGTATTAATTCCCTGTAAAGGTACAAAAATAAAGTTTAAAAATTAGTATGAAGTAATAATATATATACCATATATACAATCACTATAAAAATAAGAAACAGCACAGAAATTCATGTCACATTTGTCAATAGCTGAGAATGCTTGTAAGCCACTGAAAGAAAGCTTGCTTTCATGTAGTCCATGGTAAATAGAACCAAGGAGTGAGAGCTTATGGCCTAGTATTGTGGAGGCAGAAATATGCAAAAGAGTGGAGGGAGGGAAGCAGCAGGTACAGTATATGGAGCCAACAGTGACAGTATGATGTTTACATGAAGAAGCACTTGGTTCTGGAGTGAAGTGGCTAATAAAAATTGGTCATTGCCATATGCCAATTTAACCCTAGCCCCCTCCTGTCTAAACAGCTAATATGAAAATGAATGGACATTTGTACCTATTGGAAAGGATAAAGCCACCTCCATCCTCTAGCAAGCTGTCTCTCACATCAGTGATATAGGAAATAATAGTGCTTCCTTTTCTCATGGCTATAAGGGTTGAGGGCACAGATGTTAAAGACAGGGACACATTTTAAACAGTTTAAATGGTGAGTAAAGTTTATAAAACATGCAGGGCATAGACAAAATGAATACAGTTGTCTTCCTCTCTCATGACACTTGAACTTGTGGACATGCAATGTTGAAAGATTCAGGACAGATAAAATAAAGTACCTCTTCATTCAGCACATAGTTAAACTATGTAACTTACTCGCACAGGAGGAGGTATTCACTACCAATTTGAAGTTTTAAAATAGGAAGCAATAGAGGACAAAGCTATCAGTGGCTACTAGCCACAATGGCAATGTTTTACCTCCACTGTCAGAGGTATCATGCCTCTGAATACCAGTTACTGGGAATCACAGATGACCTTAGTACAGTTACACTCGAGGGGATGTCCAGCTTGCAGCATCCTACAGCTATCTGGCTGGCCACTTAAAACAGGATGCTGGCCTAGATGGGCCATTGGCCTGATCCAACAGTCTCCTCTTATGTGAAGATGCCTTTTGTACCATCTGCCGCTCCAGCACTTCATATGGGGAAAATGTATATATTTTCTGAACAAGAAATCATATTTATTGGTTGATAATATACATTACTGTATATTGCTTTGCACCCAATAGTGCAATTGTACAACCTAGAAGTAAAACCTAAATCCTTTGGTCATGCCACCCACAGGCACTTGCCAAGAAAGAAGAGAGAACTTTCTGTTTGGCTCTCACACATGCAAGCAACATCACTTGATGACTAAGAATGCCCATGCACACATTTTGAAAGTCAAGTCCATTTGACCAAAGTGAGATTGGCTTCTCATTGTTATTATCAAGTTGCTTAAACATGCACGGGATTGAACTTTCCATAAACAAAGGCTTGTGATACTGGGCAAAATAGTATTGAGATATGTAAAGTAAAGTAACTGTCTATTATGTTTTGGAAGACAGAAGTGCCTGGCGTGCTCTGGTCCATGAGGTCACGAAGAGGCGGACACGACTAAATGACTAAACAACAACAACATTATGTTTTGAGTAGTAGAGTAATACATGTTTGTAACTTGAGAAATAAACATATTCTAGAGCAGGGGTTGGCAAGGTTTACCTTGCCTGGGCTGGTTCACTCCAGTGGAGATCCCTCCATGGGCTGGGTTGTGTATACGCGCGCCCCAGCGATTTCCGGTGTCGGTGTCTGCGCAGATGCAATTTTCGGCATCTGCACAGACACGATTTCCGGCATCAGTGCAGACATGATTTCCAGAGTCGCAGAAGTGAGTCCCCACACTGCGTTGTACCGGTTTTGTGAAGCATGCGGGGATTCACCGAGCCGGTGGCTCGGTTTGGGAGTGGCTCGTGGGCCAGTTAAACGACCCCCATGGGCCACTTGCGGCTCATGGGTCTTAGGTTGCTGACCCCTGTTCTAGAGATCAGGTAGCTGAAGGAGTAAAAGAGGACAGCTTCAGCCATAGACTCAGTGGATAATCCTAGTGAAACACAGGATAACATTATGAGTTACTAGTTATTGGATCAGGTAGGAAAGCTCATGAAAATAAACTCAATATGTATTCTGTCATTTATAACACTTAAACCCATATCTCCCCTCTGGTACTTTAGACACATTTAGGAGGTGGTCACAATTTAGCTATGTTGTTAATATGCCTTTTTTTTTTTTTTTTGCATTTCATTTGCATCTGTTTATAATCCCACCATGGGTATGTATACTTGCAACTAAGAATTATACTTCATGCATCTGATGAAATTGACTATGCCATAATAAATATGTTAGTCCTTAAGATGCTACAAACTCATTTTAAACAGGGTTATCTTTAAAAAAGGACATTAATTTATATTAAAACATAGATACAGTAAGCAAATCTACCGTATTTTTCCATGTATAAGATGACCCCTAATTTTTTTGACCCCAAAATAAGAAAATGCACTATGCACTATCTGTGTATAAGACGAACCCTTATTTTAAACTTCAAAAATTTAGGAAAAAATTTTAGTCTTATGCATGGAAAAATATGGTATTTACTTTTTAAAAAATATCTGGCTGTTATTTGCCCTGGATTGCCAGTCTTCAGTTCTATGCACAGTAACCCCACCAGATTCAGGAAGATTTAAACGTACGTACTGTATTGACCTGAATATAAGCTACACTCGAATATGAGGACGAGGGACTACGCACAGGGCGAGCGCCACTTTGCTGCACTCCTGGCGCTGTTTGCCCCACGCTTCTGGCTGCATACCATAAGGTCGCAAATATAAGCCACACTTTAACTTTTTGTAGTCGGAATTTGAGGGGAAAGTGAGGCTTTTTTTCAGGCCAATACGGTAACTGGGTTTAAGATTACAACCTTAAACAGCATTACAGTGTGATTGCTTCAAACTATATTGCTTCTAGTAGTGCGTAGAGAGGTCAGCATTTAGTAAACTTTATTGTTATAGCTGAATGTAAAGGTCACTGCAGGCAAACTACAATTTCTTTAGCTTAATGTCTTCTTTGAAACAAGAAGTAGATTTTATCACTAGCTGAGGGGCGTTGCTGTAATTGTCTTTGCTATGCGATGTAAAACACTGAATGTGAGATATTAAATGCTTGAGAGAAGTTCAGTAGGTACAACGCATACTGTCATAAGACTTAAATATTTGTTTTGCTAACAATACAAGTTGCAATTTTTGAATGCTGCTTGCATGGGTTTAATTCTCTGAATTAATTTCTGAAATAAGGCGAATAGATACCTATTTAAGGTGGCTTAGTGGGAAAAGACAGTAGAGATGTACTTGCTTTGTTCTACATTTTAGGAAAAGAACAAGTAAAGGAACTGAAAACTTAGTCTATGGTGAATGTTTACAAGTGTCTTCATAACTACTTTCAGTAACAGTTTCTTCAGATATCACCCTCCTTTGCAAATCTGCATCCTTATGATGTTTTTCTTTTGACTGCACAATGTTAGTGTGGTATAAGTTTCTTCTTCTTGAACAGAGGGAGAAGGCAATCTAAGTGGTTCCTGTACCTACA